AGCCTCATCCCTAAACCGAATGAAAACGTGTTTTAGCCCATACTATACCCAGTACAAACGTGGTAGACCCCATATTCTATAACTTACGATCCTACACTCCGATACTAGACCCTATATTCCATATCTTGCGGACCTACACTCCGATACTGGATGCTGTGTTCCATAACTTCCATAACTTACGGTCCTACACTCCGATGTGCTGAGAAATCAGGCTGCCTGCCACTGCCCTCACATGATCCGGCAACTCTTCGATGTCCAGGAGAGGCTTCACCTTTCAGATCAAGCCCAATTTACCTCCAAGGTTTCCTTTAAGGGCTTAGGGCTTCGGATTCCTTTCCAGGGTTCCGTCTGGTGTCGTGGTCGTGGTGGTAGTAGTAGTAGTAGTAGTAGTAGTAGTAGTGGTAGTAGTAGTAGTAGTAGTAGTAGTAGTAGTAGTAGTAGTAGTAGTAGTAGTAGTAGTAGAGTAGTAGTAGTAGTAGTAGTAGTAGCAGCAGGAGTAGTAGTAGTAGTAGTAGTAGTAGTAGTAGCAGTAGTAGTAGTAGTAGTAGTAGTAGTAGTAGTGGTAGTGGTGGTGGTAGTGGTGGTGGTAGTGGTGGTGGTAGTAGTGGTAGTAGTAGTAGTAGTAGCAGTAAAGTAGCACAAGTTGTCTTTCGCGGAGAGGGGAAAATTGTGCACTATGTAAGGCATACATCACTATAAATATATGGGTTTAACTTGAATTAAAGCATTATGGAAGGCATACATAACTATAAGAGTTTAGCTTGAATGCACTTTGGCCCTGAAGACGGGTCCGGCTTGGTAGGTGATGATGGCAGCAGCTCGATCGCAACAGTCCCTAAACCCTAAACCTAAACCGTGGCACCGACAATCATGAAGGAATGAAAGCGACACAAGCATGTGTACGGAGTACGACACGTGGGAAGACAGCATTACCTTAAGTCAGGCTACATGGACTCAGAACAGATTTCGATGTTGCCTGTTTTGTATGCAATAGCGTAGGCAACAAACGCCGTGGATTTCGGGTTCCAATGTCATTTCCAATCTCAACAGCTTACAAAGCCCGACAAACGCCCCTTCACAAACTCAGTAGAGCACCTAACATAACACCCCAATTCATATCTATGTCCCGACCCGAAACCGCGCGCGAAACTTCACCAAACTAGCACCCTAGTACTTTTACTCTTGTAAAGGCAAGATATGCCCAGTAAGCTGGAAGCGAGAATCCGAGATTCCAGCCCCCCCATTGAGCTCTGCATGGAACTGCTGCTTCCACGATACCTGCAGTTCGAGATCCAGATCTTGATGTTTCCCAAGGGCTCTCTCGAGGGGACCCCACTTTTTTTAGGAAAATTGAAAGCTCCTTTCAACTAAGGTTGTGGAATCATACATTAAACATAGGGGTTGGGGTTCAGGCTGTGCGTACCGTTGAGAGCCTGTAGCTGTCAGGCTTTGTGTGTGTGTGTGTGTGTGTTTGTGTGTGTGTGTGTGTGCGTGTCTGTGTCTGTGTCTGTGTCTGTGTCTGCGTCTGTGTCTGTGTCTCTGTGTGTGTGTGTGTGTGTGTGTGGGTGCGTGTTCGTGTGCGCGTGTGCGCGCACGTGTGTGTGTGTGTTTGTGTGTCTGTGTGTGTGTGTCTGTGTGTTTGCATACGCGTGCACACATGTAAGACATACAATGCATGTATGATATATATATATATATATATATATGTATATATATATATATGTGAGTTTATGTCTACACGCACACATGTCTGTGTATGTGTATGTACATATTTGTTGCCTTTCGTAAAGTCCCATGTCCCTAGACCCTAAATGCTTCCTGCAGCTGCCAACCTTGCAAAATAGTAGACGATGACCCCCGCGATTGCAGGGTATGGCCTTCTTACTTCGCCCAAATAGCCACAGAAATAAAAGGTTAAACTTTCAGATTACCCCAAAAAGATTGAAAGTTGGGTATTGGAGAACTAAGCCTTCAGAGAAAGGTTTCGGGTTTAGGGGGTTAGACCCTTCAGGCCGAACAGATCCATATTTCGGAACTTGAAAACAACCTTGTCTATTTTTCGAAAAGTACTCAGGACACTAAACCCTAAACCACAAGCACACACAACCCTAAACCCTAAACACAAAAAGCCCGAAACACTTGACCCTAGTTAAGACCCTAAACTCCAAACTCAAGACAGAAAACCTTAAACACAAAGCCCCCTAAACAACAGCCCCTAAGCCCTAAGCCCTAAAGTCCGTTCAGCCGTATATCTGCCTGCTTCAGGAGTGAGCGCAAGCTCTCTAGCGTGGCATAGGCCTGAGCATTGCAGCAGTTTAGAGCTTAGCAGGGTTTCATGTGCTGTTAGTGTCATAGGGTGGTGCAGAGGTTGATGCAGTTACTCAAGGTTTGCCGGTGTGCAGCTGAGTTGGGTTCGAGGCCAATGATCTTGGGGGTAGGGACTGAATTTCTTGAGATGTCCGCCAAAAGCCATGTCAACATCGAGCCGTCTACTGAGCAATCGCACCACCTACATTCAAGCTGGAGCACGCCTAGAGGGTCCAAGTACTCCCTATTATGGGACTTTAGGGCCTTTTTGAATGAATGGTACCAAAATTAGGGTCGACGCAAGCTTGACATGCGGAGACTGAGCAACTCAGTTTAAGTTTAGCTTCCACTATACGAAGTAGACCGGGACGATCAAGGAACGTTGAGAAGCCTTGGTGCAAAGCATACAGTACGTGCTGCGAACACTGCGTCCGAAAACTTGGCCCCGTCTCCGATCAAGAGGTTTGTGGCAGATACGACAGGGGCCTTAATAAGTAGAATAGGGTTTTGGGGCTCATTATACTCTAATTAAACAAAAGAATCCCAACAACCCTGTTCTAATTATTTAAGTATTAAGTCCCTTACACTAACCCGAAGCTGCGGGACGCAGGGCTCAGCAGAAACGAACGAAGTTTGCGAGCAACAATTCTCTAAAGACACCAATACAGTTTAAGCTGGGGCTTGGTGTGCAAGGCGCTATAGGGCTGAGGGCATCGTTCGACTTCATATATACATCTGACTTGGGCGCTTGCGCTGGGGATTCAAGACTCAGGGATTTTGGGCTTAGGGATACAAGCCAGGATATGTTCGCGTCTGCGCCTGAAGCCCTTACGCTCCACATGCTAAAACCCAAAAGTCTAAACCCTAAACCTTCGCGATCTAAATAATCCAAACCCAAACCCTTAGGATACAAAACGTAGATCCTAAACCCTAAACCCTCATCTTTCGACCCTAAACCCCCTTCCATCAGACTCTAAGCCTGATCCGTATTGCCATGATGGATATTCTTCAGGTAGCCTCCACCACAGGCCTCCGATCGTGTACAGTGGCTGTAACAAGCTTGATGCAGACTTCCACAGGCTCCTTCTATGGGTGGTTGTCAAAATTATGGTCCCTTGTTGGGTCCCTATTATGATACGGTATCTTATTATTTAGGGTACCCCAAAAGGGACCGTAATTTTGACAACCGCCCATATGGCTTCTCTACAGGTCGTAGAGGCTTTCAGCAATCATTCCGTTCCGGATTCCACCAAGGCACCAGCATTCCTACTCGAGCTCCATTCGCTAAAGCACTGTGGGCTGCCTGTGAACTCTAGCTGAAATAGACCCCGGGACCGCCCTGAATCCTAGACCCTATATGTATGTGTATATATATATATATGTATATTCCACCCGAGCTTGCATTTTTAATCAACTCTGAGTAGGATTGTTGCTTACTTAGCTAAACTAATTGCGCGTAAAAACTGCTGACACTGGATCGCTTATTGGCGAAAACCAGAGAGAATTCAACATGTTCTGGCTGCTTATCAAACCTTGTACTGGTTATACGGTTGTGGTTCTTAGTAATCGAACGTGTTTTTGCTGCCTTTTGTTTGTTCTACTAGTTGAGGTTGACATGTTTATTCGGCATTTAGTTGATTTTAGGTCGGTGTCATGTCCTTCCTGTCGAACTAGGGTTTGTCGACATTAGCAGAATCGTCCTGGAAATTTTGAACCTAGTAATTGATGACCGCTACAGAATCATGCGTGTCCGGAGATTGAGATGAATTGCTGTCGTTGTAGTGAGCAGGGCTCTTTGTTGTAAGTACCTGTTAAAGTCATATCTAAATCAGCCCACAACAGTGCCAAACATACAGCAACATGAGAAGGAGGTGTGTAATTGAAGCCAAGTCCTTTCCGTATAACCCGAGTTTTCCCCATACTAATGTCTTCGAACATACATGATAGACAGAGGAAAACAGACAACGCGAACTGGCCTCCTCATAGTAACGAACGTCGTCAAGCAAGGATTACCATTTGGTATTTTGTATAGGACAAGTTCCGGACAAGCGTGAATTTAATCAACAACTGCTTGGCGATATGCAACTTGTTGACATGCATATGTGACCACATTGCATGAATACACAATCGCGCCCAATAGAAACTTCACGGAGCACAGACTGATGACTATTAGCTGAATACCACTCGGATCCAAGATCAAAGGTTCAACGTTCAAGGCAAGGCTCTTTCGGGCACCTTGAATCTTGGATCTTGGATCCGAGGCGCATGCAATTGAACGCTTGTTGAATCCACTCTATCCTGCTCCGCAGCGAGAGAGTCGTACTCGACGAATATGGAGAAGAAAGGTACGGTCTAGAGGCAAACCCCTGAATCCTAATACTCCATGTCGTCCTAAAGCCGAGATGTTTAAGACAGACATGGGCACATGGGAGTGAAGGAAATGGGGGTACCATATAAATACGAACGCAAGTACAAATAAGGATAAACAAGTCATAAACCACATAAATAAGTATATCCGCCTCGACCACCAACCCCACTGGCTGAGCACAGCAGAGCCTTTCGCGGTGCAGCGTGTGTCTAGAAGCAAAGTTGCAACTGCGACAGCTCCTTGTGCAAAACCTAGCCTAGCGTCCTATGTCTGATGCATAATGCAGATAGACGGAATGGATCTTGAAGTCAGCCTTCCCATCGCTTCACATGGCAATGGACGTCTGCAAGATGCCGTGAATGTTGAAATCAGTGCCGAGCTCGCCCTCGAGGACTTCCAGCTTAAAGTACTTCACAAGGCCCAGCGGCCTTTTGCAAGCCAGGAAAGTGTGCTTTTGGATTTCCTTCCTGTGTGACTCGTAGGCGAGGTGCCAGGTCGCGCCGTCCTCGTCGGACTTCACATTGATCCGGAAAGATGTCGAGGCTGCTGTCGTGACTTTAAAGGAGACGCCTTGAAGGTGAACCGAAGCATGCGGAAGGTGCCACTGTACCCACCCGTCAGCGAAATAGTATCTTGCTTGATTGGAGGCTAGTGGTTCGAGCTCGTCCGTGATTATATTTCCTCCCAGCCCGGGCCCCAGGACAACCGATACCCAGTATGCAAGAAAAACGCCCTTCTTGTTGCCACTTTCGTAGCGACTCCAGAGTGTACCCAGCACATCTTCCGTGTGCTCATTGCCTGCTCGGACATTCATCATCGATGCGAGAGAATCGCAATCATCCCCTCCCCAGCCTTGGAGAATCGTTTTCATATCTTCTGCTTCTATGCACAGCAGGCCGGAACCCAGGATCTCCTCCAGAAGCTCCGGCCGGAGAGCCAGACGCTCTTTCAGGGCTTCGGCGGGATTCATGAAGATGAGATCGCGAGCTGTTGCTCTCAGATCCTCCATGTGGAAACGGTCGGCAGAAGCGAAGAAATCACAGGCCAGCTCGGGTTTCAGTGACGCAAGCATAAATCATGCAATGCCACGACCTGATACTTGTCTGCTATTGCGGCCACCTCCACCATTGAGGTGACACAGCACCCAATGCTCCCTGAATACATGAAGCGCAGGAAGATCTCAACAGCGCTAGCCGAAAAGTCGTGGATGATGACCTCCGCCCTCTGCGACTCGGCATAGTTGTCCGAGCTTACCATCTTGTCAAACACGGGAGACCACTTGGCAATGAGGGAAGACCAAACCTTGAACTCCGTACGCATAGCTGCCACCTGACCATCAGTATCGTTGGAAGCTTGGCCCGAGGGCTCTTCCACGACGACCGTGAAGTTGCCGTCCTTGCCGAAGCAGGCCTGTCCTTGTGCTCAGCGATCGCCTCTGACTCTGGCCGCCTTTTGCGCTTGGATCCTGCGGACATGGCACCCCAAAAGGGCCCTGGTCGCCTACTACGAGGGGGTGCGAGACATTCGTGTTGTCGAAGCGCTATTTACGAAAGGATTTGTCTTGGAGTCTTGCACTTCCTGGCAGAAGGGGTGATATGTAGTGGTTGCGAGAAACACCCAGATGACTTCTACATGTCGTGCATACACTTGCTGACCCCCAGAGCTACATGCGGCACTGGGCCGGTGGCGATGTACTAAGGTTGCCGATATGGAAGGAACCGTAGCATTAGGTCTTAGTCCTACTATCAGGCTTATGCTAGGAACCGAGCACAGGGTTGATTAGATTCCTTCAAGCCTGAATCCAAACTCTTGAAGTATCCTTCGAATCATTGTAGAATTGCTACCCAGCCCCTACCCAAAAAACTCCAAAACCCTTCATCAATAAATACACCTTAAATCATACTAGGGATCCTACTATAATCCAAGGTATGTTCCTTAATCACAGGGTTTCGGAAGGTCTGGGTAAGAAACTGGAGCCCTAAACCTTGAAACTTGGACGTTAAGCTTATCACCTAGATCTTCCACTTCACAGTCGGTCTGCTGCAGGGGTTCCGGCGGAAGGTGCGGAGTTGAGGGCTTAGGGTTTCGGATTGGGTTTAGGGCTAGAGATTACGTATACTTAACCCACCAGAACCTACTATTCTGTAGGGTCCCTATGAATGCCATGTGTTAGGGGTTCTAGTAAGAACCCGCCAAAAAGTAGGTTTCGGTAGGTGAAGGTAGTGGTAGGGTCAAATATCGGCTGCAGGTATCTGGATCTTATGTCAACAGAAGTATGAACACAAATATATATATATATATATATATATATATACATGAAAGCAGTGTACCTATGAACTATGTACGCATGCGTCTTTATGTCTGTAGATTGGGACCGCAACAGGACAACATGACAAATCTTGAAACCGACGAGTCTTGAACCCTCAACATAAATCCTAAACTCTAAATCTCGAGCCTGGAGCCCAAACCTGAAACCCTGAAATTTCTACACTCTAACCCGTGTTTTACCCTACCCTTCAATAGAACCCTGAATTAACCATAACACTTCTAAACAAGCTCGAAAGCCCCCAAAACACCTTACCCTTAAGCCATAAGACGCAAGCTACACAACCCTACAGCCCTAAAGCACTTAACAGCAAAACCCTAACGCACCAAACCCGACAATCATAAGAGCCTGAAACTTCACACACTAAAAACAAAATCCGCGCACCCTCAAGCCCTAGAGCCTACTTGAGCGCGCTTAGAACTTAGAACCGTGACGAATAACAAAACATCGAAGCCTAACACAAAACAAAACACATAAAACCCTAGAGCACCCCTATAGTACGCTTATAGGATCACTTAAAAGGTAGAAAACCCTACAGTACCCCAATAGTACCCTTCTAGGAACACTCAAAGGAAGCCAAACCAAAGCGGGGGAAGTGGAGAAGCCTCGAAGTCCTTCTTAGAAGGAACTCCCTGCTTCGTGGTGCAGCCTGGCAGAAGGGATGGGCCCTAAACCCTCAACCCTATAGTAAACCCCCAAAAGTTGGAAACCGGATTAAGGACAAATAGTGCTGGGATTCCCTATACATTACTCTTAAGGATTGAGGCTATGGGGTTTCCAACTTTTAGGCTTCTTCTGTAAACCGTGGCTCTTTTGGGGATTTTGGTGGTTTAAGAGGGGGGGGTTGGGGTTCTAGGGATTAGGGGGTTAGGGGATCTAGGGATTTTGGGGCGAAGGGCACGAGAATTGGCTGAGGCTCGCGCTCGACACCCAGGCCTCCTGCAAAGCCACCTGCGGCTGGGCTTACATACCCTAAGGGTTCCCTTTAAGGGTTTAGGGTTTAAGGTTCTAGAAGGGTTCCTTTAAGGGTTCCTTTTAAGGGTTCTATATAGTTACCATAAGCATGTAGATTGAGGGGAGTCTTAAATAGTTCCCTTTTTGGTTTGACCAACTTCATATCTATAAGGGCCTGTTAGCATACCCCCAAAACAGAGCAACCATGGAGAACGGAGGTAGTTATTAGTTTTGTTAAGGGCCCTTTTCCAACTGCACGTGTATATAAAATGTTAGGGATAAGCTAGACCCGCCAACTGCCCTCTAATTATTCCGCCAATAATACCCACCGACTAAGAAGGATCATACTTAAGGACCATAAGGGCTCTATGAAGGGGAACTGGGGGGGGGGGGTCTTGGTCGGATGCGGTTAAGTGACGAGTGTAGACACAAAGGCTGTAGCTAAGTTACTGAGTTGCTAGCACAGAGCCTGGCTCGGAGGGTCAAACTCGGGCACCTGATTTCTAAAAGCCCCCCTGAAGCCGAAAATCTCTATAGAATAAAGGCCTTGACCCAAAGGGTCCAAAGTACCTTTATGGTAGAATGTAGGGTTTCTATATTAGGAATTATTATTATGATTTGGGGGAAGTATTCCCCATAACAGTACCTAGGACCCTCTGGGTGCAGCAACCCGCAATTTAAATGGAAGACGAAGCCCATCTAGCCAGCAGCAGTCCTCAAGTGCCAGCGCCCCCGGCCCTGACCCCAAAATCACCGATGGTTGTAGAATACAACGAGCCATTGAAGCCTTTGGAAAAACTAACTACCCTAAACAACTTACTTGTTTAAGAATTCGTACATATGTATATAATCTATATCTCTGTATCTATACGTCTATAAATTTATGTTCTTATAACCATATAGCCTGGAATTGATAGATGTGATAGGGGTATTCTAGGGCTTTCAACGTAAACGCACTAAACCCGCATGCACACCCTAATAGGCCCTGCCCTAAACCCGCCAAGAGGCCAGCCTGCAGCTCCCAGCCACAACCTTCGGGCTTGTGCCACACGAGCTTTGCCAGTCCTGCAGCTTGTTCTGTGAAGTGGTCCAAGATGCGAGGCCCTCCACCCTAAACCCTAAATCCTTGCGAGGATTTTAGGAATACAGCGTGGTTTACCTGTAGCCCCAAACCCTGCAACCTAGTAGTAACCCCTCGATTATGGGGTCTAGCCCTGACGCAGAAGGGTTTGGGATCCACAGGAAGGGGTTTTGCAGGGTTCCGAGTCGTAGTTCCCAAAGGGTCCAAGTATCATTCTGGTATATACTTATAGGGCATTTTGGGGGTCTAAGTATATACCATGATGATACTTGGACCCTTTGGGGTTTATGCTTGTGGGTTTGAGGCTCAGGTTTGGAGCTTAGCGCATGCAGACAAGCATGTTCACGGGCTCAGGATTTAGCATTACAAACCGTAAAACAAGAAGCCACAACAGTCTAAACCCACAAGGTTGAATCCCTCACCCCTCGAAAACCTTAACCATGCATATAACCAATCCAATTGCACTTGAACAACTAACCCACTTCTCTACCAACAAAAAGTAGAACCCTAAAAGAAAACTCACAGAAATCCTATGAGCCCTAATAGCCCCCAAAATATAGATTCTTCAACCCAAACGCCAAAACCATGAACTCCAATGCCAAAACCCTGAAACCTTAAGCCTAAATCCTCGAGAACCCGGTAAATGGGGACTTGGACATCCTGATGAATTCATTTGCGTCATCTGGCTGAAGAAGTTGCACATGTCGGGCGACTGAGCCTTCCGTAGTGCAGGTACTTCGAAGAGCTCATGAGGGTGCAGGTGGTTGGGGTAAAGGGTTTAGGGATTCGGCTGAGGGTTTTGGGTTTCAGCTGCTATTCATCCGGACACTGCAAGCCTTGAAACCCCCAATTCCTCAACTTGCAGGCTTCTGATGCAGGCGAAGGGTGTAGTGTAGGGGCCTTTGTGAGCAGAAACGGTTTTGGGGTAAATGAAATATTTATGAATATGTTTTTATGTGTGTATATATATATATACGCAGACTGCAAGGAGAGAGAGAGAGAGAGCGAGAGAGAGACTGGGACAGGGACAGAGAAAGAGACAGAGACAAAAACAACGAGAAGGCGAGGGAGCCAGAGAAAGAAAGAGAAAGAGGGAGAGATTCAGGCTTCTGCCTTCGGGGTCGGGTGACGGGCTGCGCAGTTACGCCCATTTGATTTGTTGAATGCATCTCTCAACCCTTGCGAGCAAATCGGGTATGCGATGCCAAGCTCCCGCCCTGCGGCAAGAGGCAGTAGCGGCATCCAAAGTGATTGCATTTGGTACTACCGTGGCTGCAATTGCACTGGCAAGCACAAGACAAGCCGCTTGCCAGGCTGCTCTGCTGGCGCAGGTTGTGACAGCTACATTAAAGGAGATAACATCCGGCCGAACTTCGGCCGAAGGCATCTCTGACAGCACACCCACCACGGTCTGCCACTTCGCACCCTTCTCACATGCACTCAGGGCAGCGTTGAAGTTGATCAAACCAGGCGGAATGGCAGCTGAATGCATGTCCAGGAACACCTGTAGCGCGTGCTCCCACTGCGAGCCCTTCTCGCAGGCACTGATTAGAGCACCGAAAGAGACGCTGGTGGCGTCAATCCTCACGGAGGCCATGTGTGGCAAAATAAACATAGCTGCCTCCCACTGCATGCCCGCTTCGCAAGCACTGATGGCCGTGTTGTAGGTGACTATGTTTGGTGAAACTCTGATTTCAGGCATACCTGCAAAAAGCGCAAGAGCCCGCTCCCACTCAGAGCCCCGCTCACAGGCACTCATGGCAGCGCTGATTGTGATGACATCACCTTAAGGCCCGAAGGGCCTTCAAAAGTATAGGGGAGGGTCTTAGGGTTGAGGGGCTTGGGGTTTAAGATTTAGGGTGTAGGGTTTAGGGTTTAGGTTGCCCTGAGACCCCCAATACCCCCAAATTAAGTTAAATCATAAGATTAAGTCAACTCTAGGTAAGGCACAGGAGATCTTCGACGCTGACATGTCGGACAGGAAGTTCAGTGCTGCTTCCCATCGGCAGCTTTTCTCAGAGGCGCTGATGACAGAGTTGAAGCTGATCACGTCGGGTCCTTAAGGGCAACATGTACCCCAAACGGGCGTAAGGTTCAATTGCCCCGACGGAAGTTCATAGTATAAGTGTTTAAATTAAAACGCTGATCACGTCGGGTCCCTAAGGACGAAATGTACCCCAATATGGTTTACGGTTCAATTGCCATGAAAGAAATTCATCGCATAAGTGTAAAAGCCCCAACCATGCGGTCCAAGGGTCTAATCGGCTCTTGCATTGCGGAGAACAGTCGAAGCGCAGCTTCCCACTGCGAGGCTTTCTCACAAACACTGATCGCCGAGTTCAAAGTGGTGACATCTGCCAGAATTTCAACCCGAACAATATCCTGGGCGTTCAGGAATTGAATATAAGCAACCATAGTCAGAAAACCCCAGTATGCGATCCTATAGCTCCAGTAAATGATCACTTGTTAAACTGAATTGCTTAACTAACTTCCTCAACAAGGGCCCAGTCTCAGACACAAGATGCAGGGCTCTCGTCCAGTCAGAAGCGCTTTCACATGCACTGATGCAGGCATTGAAAGAGATGACCTCGCTTCTTGAACAACCAGGCACCACAACAGCAGTTCAATCCTTTCGAGATGGACGAGATGCAGGAAACATTCGAGTTCAGAGTTGACTCTAAACCCCGACGACCCTCAACCCCTCAACCCCATTGGTTAGGTAAGTGACCGTAGGCGTCAATCTGGCTCTTCCAATGTCTGCGAAGAGCTCCAATGCCCTGTGCCATTCGGAGCCCTTTTGACAAGCACTCAACGCCGCGCTAAAGCCTTAGTGTACTAGATTCCTTTTGCTTTTTGGGACGGGGGGTCGAATATACAATAAGTCTAAAGAAATCAAGGACCCCAAAGGAACGCATTCGTAGTTACCAAGCGCCCAGAAGCTGATGACGTTCGGAGAGGTGCAGTCGGCCAGCAGTCCTAGTTCATTGTTGGGATAGGTTTAAAACTGTACATTGTTATTCCTTATTGGGTTTAAGTACCCATTAAAATGTCAAGCGTTTCCCAACTAAAGGGAACTCCAGAAAGTTGGAATATGGTTTCAGGGTAGGATGCCCTATAATTTACCATAAAGGGTCTAGGACAATCATATTCCAACTTTCTGGCTTTTACTATATGACAAAGAGTCCCAAAGCAAGCTGCCATTGAGAGCCGGCCTCGCAGGCGCTGATGGCCTCCAGGGTTGTAGGGATTTAGGGTTTAGGGTTTTAGGCTTTAGGGATTTAGGGTTTAGGGTTTTAGGGTTTCAGGGTACATTTTCAGGGTTCCCTACGATGACTTCCTTATAGAAAATCTTAAAACGGCAGGCTATTCGGGGTTTAGGTAGGGTTTCATGCCCAGAGGGTCCAAAGGACCCAATAATTAGGTATTTAGGTTTAGGATAACTAGGGTTCCTGTAAAGGGTTCTATACGGAGTTTAAAGCATAAGGTTCCGAAGGATCCAACAACTAGGTACTTAGTTTTAGGACAGCTGTTATGTAGATTTCTGTTTGGGAGAGCATATGATAAGTTCGATACTTGGACCCTTAGGGCTAGGGTCGAAGGAGTGAACTACAAGGGAGACTCTAGGTGGGGTTTTGAAGGGTATGGGGCTTTCGGTTTAGGGCTTTGGCAAAACGGGGCGGCCAGTGTTTGAGTTAAGAATCTGCAGGATACCACAATAGTGTTCAAGCATAGGATCCAATTGAAAAAAGGGATGGGTTTCCGAACTTTTCACAAGCAATGTGGTCAAGGTAAGAACAGCCAGGTAACTGCATTGACGCTGACGGTGTCAGCTATCAGGCGAACTTCCGGCATGCCGGCAAAAAGCTCCAGTGCCTCAACGGCTTAGGGTTTGGGGCTTACAGTTTTCGGTGGTAAACGACAGGTTCTCTGGAAGTCTGAATAAGTCGACTAGGGCCCATCGTGTTAGGCTGAAGATAGCACTGAAAAAAGGCGGTGCGCCCTAAGGAGTGATGTTAATCGTTATTCTGATACTTACAGTACCCTGCAACCTAAGCAAGAAGTCTTCTGGTTAGTCTTGATTTTCCCTGCTATCATGGATCCAGGAAGCCAGAACTCTGTTCCCTGGTGGGACCTACCTACCGAAAACGAGCCCCAAACCTCGCTAAGCCCCAAAACCCCACAACCGAAGCCCTGCATAAAACACCCTTCCACATAACAACACAAACCCGAAACCCTAAACCATAAACCCCTAAGGCCAGGGCGGCAGCCCACTGCGAGCCCTTCTCGCAGGCAACCATCGTTGCAGTGTGGCAGATCCTGGGGTTAGGATTCGGGGGCTACGTAGGGCTTAAAGGGCTACAGGGCTCGAAGTTTAAAGGATTGAAATCGGTTTCGGGTTTAGGGTTGAAAGTTCCAGATGTATCCAGGGTATAGGGCCTAGCAGGGCAAAACTTAAAAGATTTAGCTATCTAGCGTAGGGGGCCCAGGGCCTTAGTTGCAGGGGTGCTGCGCAGACTTGATAGAAGATTCGATTGCGCAACGAAGTCCTGGGATCTTTTCTTTATTACACCCTGCTCCCAGTTCGGTGGGCTAGTGTTGGAAGAGATGTGAAGGTAGGGTTCAGGGTTCACGGCTTGAGTTCCGGGTTGCTAGGAAGCGCGGAATTTACAACATGGCCGGAACCTCGAATTGGAGTCTCCGTAGAGTCGAAAATAGGAATCCAAAGGTCAGAACACCTCAAAAAAACAAGCGGGGTTGGTGAAAATTATGGTTCCCTGTTTGGTCCTCTAAACTTAAAGGAAGATGCTACAGTACAGACCCCAAAACTGTACATAATTTTGATCAACCCCCCCAATATGTGGGTAGTTCTCTAGCTAAGCTAGGGTCCACCTTTTGGGGGTCCTTTGTTCAAAGGGTGCGCCGCAATTGGCGACCTCTAAAGGGACCTTACTTTGGAGAACTACCCATGGCAAACAATATCTACACAGAATCTACAACAATCTAAAAGACCAATACTGGACACTGAACCTGCAAACAAACCATACTGCACGAAAGACAAGGAAGGACACTCAACCAAAAACAAGACACACAATTCACAAAGGTACACACACACAGACACACCTGCCTGCGCGCCTTCAAACCCTTAGTTGCGAAGCTGGAGTCAGGTGCGAACGGCCTTGGTCTGTTGGCACGGCCGGCAGGAGGCTTAAAGCCGTCGGCCACTGTATGGCTTTTCCTCAGAGGTCGGTAATAACTAATTAGGATTCGACTACCGTTCTGCTTTTACAAGCTTTGGCTGCATGTGGTTTTGAGACAATCCTCTGGCTTTAGTATGCTTTAGTTGTCTTAAGGTGCTTTGATTTTAGATTTGGTGATCTGCACCGCAAATCCGCCCTTGACGAACTAAAACTTTGCACGGGCGAGAAATGAATAGAGAAACAACCACTACAAAAAGGCAATAGGATACTTTCTGCTCGCAGTGTTTCCAAGAGCACAGAGAAAAGCACCAATGCTGACAGTGTTTGGCTCTATCCGCATCCCTGGCCCGGCAGCGAAGAGGTGGCAGGCTTGTTGCCAGTGAGAAGCTTTCTCACAGGCGCTCATCGTGGCATTAAAAGCCACGACATCGGTTGCAATCCTGTCCATCGGCATCTGGGAAAAGAGTTGAACAGCCGCTTCCCATTGGGAAGCCTTCTCACATGCGCTGACGGTAGAACAAAAGGAGATGACATCAGGCAAAGCTTCAGCTGATCGCATGCTGGATAGCACCTGCAAGGCAGCCTCCCAAAGGGACCCCTTCTCATAGGCACTGATCGTCGTATTGAAGCTGACCACATCCGCCACGATGCTGGCTGCAGGCAGTTCTGTAAACAGGTGGAGTGCCGTGTCCCATCGACGTCCCTTCTGGCACGCACTGGTTACCTAGGCCGGCAGCGGGAATTCTATCTGTGGCTTGCAGCTTTACAACAGTAACCCAAAGAGCAAGACCAGAGTTCCTTGGGCACCGGGTGGCAGAACTGAAACTGATGATGTCCGCATTCATGCGAGCCTGCGGCATGTCCGAAAGGAGCTTCAGAGCAACCTGCCACTGGAAGCTCTTCTGATGCGAAGTGATCGCAGCATTGACTGTAGCCACATCCGCAGGACTCGCAGCGAGCATGCCTAAACCAATCCTAAGGGGTCCAAGTTCAACATGTGTGTTCGATCCAGTTTGAAACTTGGTCCTGGTGGCTGCTTAGATCAAGATAAGTAACTTGTGCCGCTACAGATCTACCGCAGAGTGCATCCCCTACTTCAAGAGCCCTTCAATCAGCGCGCTCCTAAGAGTGTATATATAGCCTTCGTGGAGCCCTAAGTGGCAGTGGCATGGTCAAGTTCTATCGAAGTCGTGCCCCAAAAGATCTAAACCCTAAATCCTGGAGCCCTCCGAGCTGTAACGACGTTCTTTATTTTAGGCGTATCATGAACCCCAGAAAGTTGGAACACGGAGTAAGGATGATTAGTGCTGGGATTCCCTATACGATTATGTTCCAACCTTCTGGCAGTTACTTTAGGTCTATACGCCTCTTCCCCTTCAAGGTAGACCACCAAGGATCCCGAAGGAAGAAAAAACCATCCACCCCAGCAGCAACAAAAAGTAGCCACTGGTTTTAGGGCAAGTTTCGAGCTAGTAGGGCCTGAGGCAGGGTTTCAGCAGGGGTTGATGCGGTTAGTGGTTTGTGGTTCAGGGCCAGAACCCAAGAGCAGTGACAGTTAAACCCCAAATGTACCCACGTCGTCAGAAACTTTTGAACACGGCATTACTTACTGCTTCGACCAGCCCTTCACCCCAGACCCCCAAATCTCCAAGCCTTAGATCCCTAAATCCCAAACCCTCCAACCGGAATCCCTTCATGGTTTGCTTTGCGGAGTCACGACACGGCCTTGCACTCAGAGGCCAACATGTTGAGGCCAAAGAGGGCCTGGCAAACGCATTTTCGAGTAGGGTGAGCTTAAGGGTGTCGGGTTTGAGATTAAGGGTTGAGGGTTTAGGGTCTAATCCAGGTTTGCAGCGCTTAGGGCTTACAGGACTTGACTTTGCTTTGGTGTACCTTGAAGGTTCACAGTGGGGCTCTGCTCACTTCAACGTAACAGTAGTTGGACCAATCAGGGTGTAGTGCTAAGGGTCCTCAATATTATAGGAACTTGTGGGCCTCTTTAAGTACCAAAAACCCATAAATTGGAACCACTTGGACCCCAGGGTAGGTTTATCTGACCATACTTGCAAGCAGCCATGAAACTAACCTTACCATGCCAAAGCTCCAAGGCCCTAAAATCTGAACTTGATGCACGTCTAAACAAAATGCATCCGTGTTTAGGCTTGTCTTGGAAGGCTCCTTAGACCAACATAACCTTATTTTTGCATGCTTTTGTTAGAAAGCTAACATGGAACGTATAGGAACGCTGCAACAAATATGTTTTGATAGGTTACGGCTTATATGTCGATCTATGAAACAAAACTACATCCCACTCAACACCAGCAACTTGCAAAATAACGAGTGTCAATAAGCAGTTGAACGAATCTACAATCGCCCCTCAGAACAACTCTGCGCTAGGTCCTGCACGACCCAAACCCACATGTTGTTCAACAACTATCGCGTTCGCACACTGCGGTGAATCGTTAGGGCTTCTACCAAAACTGTCGGTTTGTCGCCGTAAGGGCTTAACAGTTAGGATACTGGGTTGAAGGCTTCGAATGTCTGTGGGCTGAAAGGTGAGGGTATAGGGTCGAGGAATTTGAATGTCAGACAAACCCCAAGCCGAAGGATTCTTATGAGTGAACAAACAACACATCTGTAGCCTTGACAAGCAGAAGACATCGCAAGAGCCCAATCGGGGCCGCTTTTGTTGGTGTCCTACTACTACAGAACATACAATTTCAAGATTCATATTTGGGTCCCTTGTTTCTTGAAACTCCCGTTTATTCAAAGCCTTGCCGCGATTCTTGCTCGTGGTGTTCGTCTCCTTAGTGCGAGCACACTGGCACCCTGAACCCTGGCCCTACACCCCTGGGTTCCTGAGTAGGCCCTTAATAATAGGGGGTACCCTTGTCCCTACTTTTTTGGTTTTAATAAGGAGACAAGGGCAAAAGGGGACTACCCAGGAACCTGAACCCCAAACCTACAAGCTGGGCCGCTGAACTCTATCCTCAATAACCGGACTGTCGGGCTTCTGTCGAGTTGAGGGTGTCGGGCGTAAGGTTTAGGGCTTAGGGTTTGGGGGTTTCGGGTTTAGGGAGTTTAGGGTTTAGGGTTTAGGGTTTGGGGGTTTCGGGCTTAGGGAGTTTAGGGTTTAGGGTTCAGGGGCTAGGGTTTAGGGTTTGGGGGTTTCGGGTTTAGGGAGTTTAGGGTTTAGGGTTCAGGGGTTAGGGTTTAGGGTTTGGGGGTTTCGGGTTTAGGGAGTTTAGGGTTTAGGGTTCAGGGGTTAGGGTTTAGGGTTTGGGGGTTTCGGGTTTAGGGAGTTTAGGGTTTAGGGTTTGGGGGTTTCGGGCTTAGGGAGTTTAGGGTTTAGGGTTCAGGGGCTAGGGTTTAGGGTTTGGGGGTTTCGGGTTTAGGGAGTTTAGGGTTTAGGGTTCAGGGGTTAGGGTTTAGGGTTTGGGGGTTTCGGGTTTAGGGAGTTTAGGGTTTAGGGTTCAGGGGTTAGGGTTTAGGGTTTGGGGGTTTCGGGTTTAGGGAGTTTAGGGTTTAGGGTTTGGGGATTTCGGGCTTAGGGAGTTTAGGGTTTAGGGTTCAGGGGCTAGGGTTTAGGGTTTGGGGGTTTCGGGTTTAGGGAGCTTAGGGTTTAGGGTTCAGGGGCTAGGGTTTAGGGTTTGGGGGTTTCGGGTTTAGGGAGTTTAGGGTTTAGGGTTCAGGGGTTAGGGTTTAGGGTTTGGGGGTTTCGGGTTTAGGGAGTTTAGGGTGTGGGGTTGACGGCTCAGGTCTTTGGGGTTTCGGGTTTGGCCTCCCTTATGGCAGCTCATTAATTAAGGTTGCGGGTCTCGGGTATGTCAGGGGATTAGCGGTGGGGATTTGGGGTTCGGGTTTTTTAGGGGTTCAAGGCAGACTGCAGCCAAGCCTAAAGCCGAGCCACAGCACCGGACATCCTAAGACGGTAGACCTAATCCAAAGATCCACATGGCACGAGTAGACAATAGTAGACGCCAGAAAGTTGGAACAGTAGTGTCCTGATGCCTTTAAGGTAAAGTATAAGGGGATCCTAGCACCAATCATCCGAGATCCATGTTCCGACTTTCTGGGGTTCACTATACAAGATCGGCACTGGAACACAAGCAAGTGATCTGACGAACCTTCATTTTCAGGAGGCAGTGGCTCCGCTTCTTCCTCAGCATACTGAGACTTCCCCGTTTGCAATTGATGGGAGGCCAAAAGGGGGGTATAAGATTCTTGGGGTAGGGATTCATTAATATGAACCCTACTATGGGAACCCTTTTAATCCCTACTAAACCCCCATAGGCTAACCCCTTTTGGCCTCCTATGAGCAATGGGCATCTTTCTCTTCGTTGGAGGCTGTGAAGATGAACCACAACCAGGCTGCTTAGTCTCAGGAGTCTCTCCTTTGGACTCTGGAGCTCAAGCAGCGGCATGGTAATGAAGGGGCCTTAACAAGTGGAATAGGGTCTGGGGTATACTAGACGATAATCATAGTAAGGCCGCACAGTCGTATAGGTAGTTATCTTAAACCTCCAAGAAACGTGGTCAGAGGCAGGCGGATTTCAATGTACTCTTTCTTTTCCCACTCTACCAGAGACACTGCGGAGAATGAAGGGTTCAACGCGCACGAACCTCTGCATCGCCTGCCGTGCCGGTTGATTACATGGTCGCTGGCGGCATAATGGTGGTGGGCGTCTTGATTTGCCAAGGTGAGGCCAGAGCTTCTTCATCTGCGGTTCTGTGAATTTAGCAAGCCCTTTCCGGCATGCATGGCGCAGCAAAGGCACCCTCTGCGAGCCAAGGCCTCTGAGGAACCTTCAATCCAAATATGCCGTGCCGCAGGAGAACAAACACAAAACCACTCTCTCACTGACGACGGTCTCGTTCTCCAAACCCTAAGCCGTAGGCCCTAGACCCTAAAACCCTAAACCTAAACCCTAAGCCCTAAACCCTAAGCCATAAGCCCCCCAGGCCCCAAACCCGAGAATTAGCCTGTCACTGTAGAGTCTGAAACCGAATTCCTGAACCCCAATAGTATTATGGAACCTTTATGGATCCCTTAAAGGAACCTCTATTGATCCCGTGCAGCCCTAAGTTAAAGACCTAGACCCCACCTTGAACACTAAATCCCTCCAAGACGTAAAAAAAATAAAAAAACACCTTAAAGCCAATGAAGCCCTAACCCAAAGGCTCCATGTACCCACATAGTAGGTACTTAGGCCTGAAAGTGCCCATACAGGTGCCCCTTTATAGGCCAAAGTACCTACAAAATGGGCATATGGAGTCTTAGAATACTTGGAGGGTCGGGGGACTTAGTAAGTAGGTAGTAAGTAGACTTATAAGTACCCTAAAAGGGACCCTAATTGGGGTTATGGTACTTATAAGTCCCTAAAATAACCAGTTACTAAGTCCCCCGACCCTCCAAGTAAGAACCAACAGAAGTCCACCGGGAGACGGGCTGGGTCCAAATGGCTCAGGATAACTCCGAGACCACCCATCTTGTCGATGATGCGGTTCAGATTTGCCTCAGAGACAGGCGTTTGTAGGCTTCCCATATCCCTTTATGAAGAAAGATACCTTTAATCAGACTAAGGATCCTATATACTACATTTTGAGTGCATTCCTTAGTTTAGGGTTTAGGTTTCGAGCCTAGGGCTTCGGGTGTAGGGTTTAAGGCGTTTGGTGTAGGGCTTGTGTCTCAGGGTTTAGGGCCTAGGGTTTAGGGTTTAGGGCTCAGGGTTTGTTTGCGGCTTGGGGCTCAGGGCTGAGGGATTGAGTTCACGATTCAAGGAGGCCACGATGGTGGTCTCTAGAAAGTTGGTTTCTTCCAGGTCAACCCACCGCAAAGGTGGGCATGGAGGGAGGCAGTGGGATTTCGGGAAGCTTTGGTGTCAAGATGGAAAACGTAGCTGCCGTTGGGTGTCTTATAGGTGTCACGCTTGCAAAATTTCAGGTTTAGGGCTTCAATGTCTGGTACCAGACAGAGGGAGTCTCGGGTCTTGGACGCAGGACGACAACAGCTTAGGATTTGAGGTTGAGGATGAAGGCAGCACTTCAGAACCTATTCATTGCTGCTTGCACTCGATCCGACACACTAAACCACGAACTCCACAAAGCCCACATCAGGGCTGATTCAGAGGTTTCGTGTGTGCCGAAATCCCGATCTTCCTGAATTGAACTCCAAAATACCCAAATGCCAGATCTCAAGTCAAGTGCCTAAGAAGGCCTGGCAGCCCCCAAAGCCCTAAAAACCCTAAACCGGAGACTTGAAACCCTGAGCCCCTACCCGTCGACAAAAAGGATCCCGGCTTTGTCGTCGGTGACCTTAGACCGGGGTAACACAGGGATATAAAAACAAAGACTCGGTCTAAATTGGGCTCTTGTGCGGGAACTACTTCGTAGATTTGGATGATATGCTTTCCCGATGATGGTAGCGCTCCTTGACCCCTAAACCAAGCGAGCCAAACCCAAAACCGTCCCAGGAATTGGGATGCGTTTCAGTGCAGTAGCCACATGAGGAACCCTAAGGTCAAGCATCTAGAGTATAACTACTGCGATTACTCCCACCACTACTTTCATCATCGTTCTGGTTTTCTTCTCGTCGTCATTAGTAGCAATACTGTTAAGGTAAAAGCCAGAAAGTTGGAATATGAACTTCCTAAACCCTGTATGGTAAAATATAGGGTATCCTACCCTGAAACCATATTCCAACTTTCTGGAGTTCCCTTTAGTAGTTGGTCTGTACTATCCGGTCATTCTCAACTGCCTTATCGGGTTGAACAGAGCGTCTTGCAATGTGACCTTTACTTGGCATCTGGAGGGTGTTTTTGTTTGTTTGAAAGAGTCTCTGGTTGCACCTCAACTCACTCCTTTAGCCTGCTAAACCTTAACCCTAAGGCTCAAAAGAGCCCAAAAGCCCTTATATAGTATGGTCTTTAGGCCCCAAATCCTTAAAAATATGAGTCCTTAGAGCCTAAGGGTAAAGCAAAAGAACACTAAAATCTACACCTCTAAACCCTAAACCCTTGAAGTATAGAGCTTGCAGGCGCTCTTAGGCCCTGGCAATGTTGTACAAGACTTTGCTGGCTCGTCCGCGCATCTCAGGATCCTGGACAAGCCATCAACGGAACTGTCACAGTAAATCTGTTCTGTAGGGTTTAGGGTTTAGGGCTTCGGGTTGAAGGTTTACGCTGAACCCCGACACCCTAAACCAGCTTAAACCCTAAGTAAACCCCCAAACCCGTCCCAAACACCTAAACCCCTAGACCCCAACCCCTTATGGGAACCCTTACCCTCAAAGCGGATGTGTGCAAATCCGGGCCTCACAGACGAGGAGGTCAAAGAGTACTGTGCTCTGCGGCACTGACATAATCAGACGGCCGTGGTCCTGGCATGGATATGTCTAGCAGGTTATAGGGTATAATGGCTATCAGCAGAAATAACCCCTGCATGGATATAAACCGGAAATAGTGATTCGGTACATATGCACATGCGTGCAAATGTATGTATAAGTATGTGTATGTACAACATCTATACCGACGTATGGATAAATACATAAATGTGTATATGTATATTCAGGGTTACGGCTGAGGGCCTAGGGTTGTGGTGGTTGTAAGTTCGGTTGTATTAGGGTCTGGGACTGTGATTGCAAGGAATTTCGGATCCCCAACCTCTGAACCCTAAACCCTACTTGGGATAACCTGGGATTCTGCTCATTAGCCGCATCAATGAACCGCCATGAACGCTTAGGCTCTAAGCTTTGTTCATGTCCAGATAAATTTCCTTCTTTAAGTTTCAACGAACATACCTTATAGTTAGGAATATTCCTTAACTAGGATATAAGAACGATTAATACTCGAAAACTTGTACAGTATCCGAAGGTGGTCCATACTTCGTCATGCAATATGTAGGTCTAACTAAACCCTACCCGCAGTAAGTTCCCAAGTCCAACTGTTCATGGACAAAATCCTGCATGACCCAATATAGGGAGTATACCATAATTCCCATAGTTTAGGGTCCTTAAGGTCATGCAGGATTTTGTCCATCAACAGAAGATCTAAGCTAAGCAGGCCAGGTGCTCCATGCCGATCATGCGACACTTCTTCGGAGCCTCCAACCGTTGCAAATTGTAGGCGGGGTTCGTTTGTAGGTTAAGGGTTAGAGAATGGCGTGAAAGGGAGTAAGGTGCAACAAGCCATGATTAAGATTGCCTGTTGAGTACCGTTGAGTTTGCCGAGGCTCAGCTTCAACTTTGTAGCTTAATTATGTGCCACCTCCATGCTACGTCCCAGCCGATTCTGTCGATACTTGTGCAGGGGTGAGAACAGTCAGGGATTATGAGACATATCCCTTAGTGACCCTGCAAAAAAAAACGACAAGACCCTGTCCCAAACCGTAATAATGCCCCTACGGTTGATGATATAAACCTTGCATTACCTTGATGACCCTAGACTACGGGGATTAGGGTATGTTCCTTATTATGAGTAATGCAGGATTTGGATCATCAACCTTAAAAATAATACACTCAAGTGCGGTCTTCAACTTCGTTGGGCCTGGGCACTAAGGTATCCCGCGGTGGGATGAACAACCATGCCGCGCAGAAGTAGCAGTGTGCTGAATGTGGACGTATAGGCGCACATATGCAAAACACAAACATACAAATAAATGTATATATGCTCATATATATATATATATACATAGAGAGGGAGAGAGAAAGAGCGAGATAGAGGCAGAGAGAGAGAGAGAGAGAGAGTGAGAGAGAGCGATAGAGAGAGAGATAGATAGAGAGAGAGAGAGAGAGAGAGAGAGAGAGAGAGAGAGAGAGAGAGAGAGAGAGAGAGAGAGAGAGAGAGAGAGGGATAGAGAGAGAGAGAGAGAGAGGCGGAGGGGGACCAGAGCGAGAAAGACACAGAGCCACATTATTGCCATGTATACTATTTGTCATTGATACTGTTAGTATTGTATATTCGAAGCCAGTCCTCGCTACATGTATGTCCATATGTATGCCTGTATGCATGTATGTACGTCTGCACGCATGCATGTATCCACAGGTGCAAACGGTTCTTAAGCCTGTTTTGGTAAGGAGTAGGCAAGCAAGTTGCTGGCCCTCCTGGTGCACAACCAGAGTGCATGTAAGAACCTGAATGTCATCAGCACCCTTGTTGTTATCAGCAAGGGGTCACATGCTTTTAGGAACCATATCCTGGTCCTCTGAACACGATGCCTTAAACTTGGCCAGTTTCAAGAGTAATGCTCTATCGGCTAGTTCCGGGTGAGTGCGTATGGAACGGGAAGTATGAGGCGAACGCTCGGGGCATATGGGACGCATGGTTCGGAACACAAGAAGCATAGTACTGTACATATGGGAGACCGTACTGACCGTACCGTACCGACTACCGACTGTACCGTACCGCCCGCACCGATGTACCGTACCCAAATTAGCAGAGCATCTCCAAGGATTAGCAAAGCCTTGCTTTGCTAATCCTTGGAGATGCTCTGCTAATTTGGGTACGGTACATCGGTGCGGGCGGTACGGTACAGTACGGTACAGTCGGTACGGTCTCCCATAGTACAAGCCGCCCCATATGCACCAACACAGCGAACCCATGCGCACCACCAAGCCGCACCCTACGCACCACCAAGCCGTCCCAAGACATAGCACCTCCACGTGTAGCATAGACAGAAACCATAGCCTGCATTACTCTTGAAACTAGATAACCTTAAACCCCAAACCCTACAAGCCCTAAGCCACTGCACATGCCGTTTATGCCCGAAAGCCTGCCAGCCGCGGTGAGGACAGCTGGTTGGCATCAGTGGAAGTTCTTGATCCAACTCCTGCAGGAATCGTGCAATCGAACCTAAAGCTTGACTCCGAAAACAGTAACACCTTCGGAAAAAAAAAAAAAAAACTGTCGGCCTTTGAGCCCCCAACGTGCACAGCACGCCAGGTGTCCAGTTCATGGCTTATGGTTCTGTGGGTGGGGGCTTGGGATTGGTGCAGATCTTTTCTGGGTGAGCAGCCCATTGTATATAACCCTGGCAGAACGGAGTTTGCGCGTCAGGCCTTTTTTCAAGGCTCCTCCGATACGCAGCCTACCCTTTATGTTGCGGGGCCTGAAAAATTCCGAGTTTACAGAGTTGGAATTGACAATTCAAGTGGAACCCTGGCACTCAAAACAGCCAACAGCCTTGCGCTGGCCTTGCATAGCACGTTGGGCCCCAAAGTCCTAAATCGACTCTTACTCTTAGAGCTCAACAGACTAGCTGAATAAAGCTTCATCGACAAAATAAAGAACCTTTACCCCAAGTGAAGAAACACAAACTGGAGCCCCGATATTCACCCAAGCAGTCAGAACACACACCGGCTGCTGAAACCCTTGTGTGGTGTAAGTGCACTCACCAAAACCAGATTTACAACCCTACTTCATATGAGCCATGCTCACACCGCACAGAAACCAAGACAATGAAACTCAGAGCCCTTAAACATCCTGCACCCCCCCCAGCAAACCCCAGCAAACCCCGAATCCCAACTTCCACCAAATGCCAAGGTAGCTCAACATGGGCCGTGAGTTTTGGGCCCAAGTTCCTGAGCTTCGGTTGCTTTGTTGACTGGGCATGCCCCCTCCTCGCCCGCCCCAAAAGCCACTACGTTGCACCCCAGACTCTCCAACCTGAAGACCGCCCAACTGCTCAGGATTTCACTAAAACACTATACCTCTTAATACCAACAGTATCCCCTGTTAGCACCCTTATAGCTATCGTATGATGTATCCCCTCTAATCAGAGTTAACAATGCTCATCCGATCAGCCTTGATAGCCCAGATCTTGTCCCCACGCTGCGGCCCATGGATGAGAATGTGCATCAGGTCCTGCGGTGTCTTGAGGTTCTAAGCTTCAGATTTAGAGAGTCATGAATCGTCACCAATGTATAGATAAATACATACTTATAGTAGTATCATCTACCCCAACGCCATAATCTAAGTACGTAGGCTCCCAAACTATTTATTGGGGCACACGCCTCAGAATTTTAGCTTGCTATTCGGGTCAAGGGGAATTAGCTTCCCAAAGCCTCCATGTACCTATAAAGCATGTACTCAGGCCTTAAGGGATACCAAAAACGGAACCCTAACAGGACGCCTTTGAAGGACCCCTTAAAAAAAAACCTTAAAGGACCCCTTAATGGACCCTTTTAAAGGGCCGTAGGATCAACTTTATAAGGCCTAAGTATATACGGAGCCTTAGGGGTTTGAAGCTATGGGGATGTAGAACAAGGAGATTGGAGCTAACCTTTTGGGAACTGAGGACCCTCTCCGCCCTTGCCGAACAGGTTACGAGCCCTAAACCCTGAACCCCCCAGTTTCAGGTTGATGCGTTTCGGGAGGAGGGCTCCTGGTACTTCTTGGTCACGTTCTTCTGGTCCTCGACGCCGCACCTGTCTCTTGGACATATGCAGAGGGGTTTGGCATGGGATGGAAGAAGCCGATCTCCAAACCCTAAACGCCAACCTTAAACCCTGGCTGAACCCCAAGCCCCAAACCCCTCAGCTCCAGACTGATCCCAAACCCCAAACCCTGAAACCTAAACCACTGCACCTTAAACGGTCGTTTGAGGGCTTTTTGAGCCATGCACTGCCCCTTCTGCCAAGCAGCTCCCAGCGCTTGCCCGTCCACACCGCGCCAAAGTAGCATGGAGAGACGATGTGGCACTTGTCCTAGGTCTATAGGGTTGTTGTTTAGGGTTTAAGGGGTCTGGGGTTTAGAGCTTGGGGTTTACAGGGCTTACAGGGTTTGGAGACGATCGGTTTAGGGCTTGTAGGGTTAACTTGAGCGCTTGGGGTTTAGGGTTTGGGGAGTCTAGGGTCTCGGTTGTGCTGTTCAAGGCTAAACCCCAGACCCCTTAAGAACCCCTAATTAAGCCCTAACCAATCCGGCCTTCTGAATTTCCTCGGCTGCCATCGCCTCCAGAGGCACCCATGACACCTCCAAACGGAGCTTCTTCGCCACCGGCACCGAAAGGCTGCTGTGCGAATCGGAGGCACGTTTTTTCGCCGCCTCGTCCGCTTTCCCGAACTTCTCCCTCAGCTCGTCAGCAATCTTCCTGAAGTCAGCTCCCTGCACCGGATGGTGGTACCACTGCTTTGTCAGAGCATCCGGAAGCTTCAGGGAAGCTGGGTTGTTGTCGGCGTCGGAGCCAACATATGACATGGTGCTCTCACTTGCGATGCATTCTGTCCCAGAGTTGTTTCGATGGGCGGGGGCAGCCATACCTGCCGCCTTATGCAAGGCAGAGTATATAGAACATGACCATACCCTAAGACTCCAAATAGCCCAAAGCAAGTAGCATTTATAGACTTTAGACCCCAAAGTAGGTACTATTTGTATACTTGGAGTCTTAGGGATACTGTAGTCTAGTTAATTGCACTTCCCACCCCGGGTTTAACTCGGGCTTGATGCAACGTCTGATCTCCGTGATGGTACATTCAAAGGGGAAAAGGACGGACCCTTAATGGGGACCCCTACCCCATAATGGGCTATATAATGGGTACGGTATATCACAGCTGTATTAAGGGTATATACCTAGGGGTCCTTATTAAGGGTCCCTCCTGTTACCCTTGGATACATCAATCTACGTGGAGCCCGCAAACTCGGGAAGGCAGCAGGTTAAAACCCTTGCACTACAGTACTGTAGGGTATAACCCACCAAGGAAACGATAGCTGAATAGTAGGGCATAACCTTAAAAAAAAACAGCAGGTAGTGGTAGCTATGGCAGGTCGAAGCATCCTAAACCCCAAGCCCTCAGCCCAAACCCTAAACGCCTCAAACCCAAAGCCCTCACAAGAATGTTCTCGCATCTCCGAACCAAGGCTTCATACGGTTTAACTCTTCAGGGCTTCGTGTCTCAGGGTTTAGCGACTTTAGCGGTTTAGACCTATGGGTGTTTTGGGGAACTTGGGGTTTTCGTTTGAAGGGTTTACTTGGGGGATCATGGGACTTAGTAAGTAAGGTTATAAGTACCTTAATTGGGGCTACAAGTGGCTATAAGTCTAGTTACCCTAATTATAAACCTAGTTGCTAAGTCCCGTGATCCTTTACGTAGGGTCTCTTTGAGGCCGCGGCGAAGTAGGCATCCTTGCGCACATCCAAGGCATTGCTGCAGTACCAACCAGGTCCCATGAACTCGGCGCCCTGGTGTTGCGATCGGGTGCCACTCTTGCCTAAACCTAGATCCATAGACACTACTGTTATGGAATCCGGTCCCTAGAACCATGGTTAGGATGCTCTTTTGGGGCCCAACTCCATAATGGTAGTATACATGGACCCTTCGGGAAAGTGCGCCTCATACCCAACACAAGGTTACCACTGTATGTTACGGGAGGATACGGTAGGACTATAAGCCCCCGAAAGGTTGAAGGCGACCTAGCCAACCCCAAAGATAGGGGATGGCGACGATGATGGTGCTGATGAGGCTGGCGAATAGTGGTCATGATGATGATGATGACGATGACGGCGGTGGTGATACTCTTGATGCGGGTGTGCTTAGAGAATACTGAATACTCAGAGTCCAGAAACCCGTGCGCATCGAGCAGCCCAAACCCTCACAGGCCTGATTCATATAGGGGCCTCAATAATGTGTACCCCCAAACCCTATTCAAATCACTAAGGCCCCTATACTGCGCCGTATTAATGTTTGGGGTGACATGTTCGTCCTATGAGCTCTTCCCTGTACTACTCATGTCACTATGATATTAAAGCTATGCTCACCAAACATATACCACACTTCAATGTTCCTGTTGAAACTGCGGAAACCACTCCCTGTGCATAACCTAGCGAGCTGAATGTCCGACAGTCTGAAGAAGGCTGAGGAGCACGCAGGAAACCAAACCACGCCCTTGTAGCAGGGGCCCTTGATGTGGCATGGGTCGTAGTTCGTCAATCGACGAGCGCCACCTGAGAGCCCCATAACTCCAGCCTTTCCTCTTGCCGTCTACCCACATTGTCTAAAGAGATATACATCTATTTACATATCCACTTTTTTAAGTTTTCGTTTGCTATGTATAATACATATGTATATATATATATATACATACATACATACATACATACATGAAACTGACTCGTCTACTAAACCCGGGCGACGACCGGGAAGCGGTTTCGCATCGCAGCGTCGGCATGCTGAAGCCCACAGACGTGTCATATCTTCGGCCGCGGTCTCCACTGACAGCACGGAACAACCGGGGAAAAAAACAAAAAACACACACTCTCTCTCTCTGTTTATCTTGTTATATAGGTATAATGTAAACACATGCAAACAGATGCACACTAGTTATGCGCATGATTGTACATGTGTACACAGATAGAAACATACAAGTAGATAGATAGATAGGTAGGGGTGTAGGTACGTAGTTAAACAGATAGTGTAGACAAACAGAAGGGTAGATTGATGGATGGTTAGATGGATCGATGGGTGGATGGATAGATAAATCTACAAGGAGAATTATGCTTGCTTCGTCTGTTTTGTTGATGTATCATCGGCACTGATACAGCTATAGGCCATGTGGGGGGTCAGTACGACGACAGCTGTCTTGGCTATCTGTGGCTCCAATCCTCTCCTACTTCGGAGCTCGGGTTTAGATGTAATCCATGGGTTAGAAGCTGTTGTGTTCTGGGCTTCCTGCCACAAACCCAGAACAAGTGATGTCGAAGGCCATCAGGGTCTCTTAGACGCAAGCTGCTACCCCCTGCTAACCCTGAAAATCCTCCATAGAACACCGCTAAATCCTGACTGCTAAATTTACTAAAGCCTACATCCCCAAGTGCTACATCCCTAAAACCTTCATGCATACTATTGAGGCGGCTGCCCATTGTGCTGTGGTCCGGCATAGGAAAAGTGAGACCTCAGGAGGGCGGAAAGGGTTTAGGGCTTAGGATATACCCCCAAAGGGTCCGATGTAACTATATAGTAGAATGTAGGGTTCTTATAGTAGGAATGACTATTAGGATTTGGGGAGGTATCCCCCATAACAGAGCCTAGGACCCTCTGGGACCTGGACCCTCTGCAACCTGCCCCTGTAGGATTCCTAATCAGGACTTCATTGCAAAACTCGTAGGCACGTACCCTAAACCCTAAAACCCTAAACGCGTAAAGCCGTTGTCTCCATGGCCCCAGGCAGACGGGCAAGCCTAGAGTCCACAAACGATGATGGCTTACTAGGCTTCGTTAGTTGAGGACCTTCTCTGTCCCCCGTTTACAAAACAACTCTACTGTTTAATTTCTAATTTGGGATACCTATATAAGGAAATCGCTACATGAGGATCCACAAAAACTGTAGGTTTCAGGTGAGGCCTAAAACTTCAGTCGGCCGTAGATTGAGGGTTCGCATAAAGAACCGTGTTTGTATCCAAGCAATGCTTGCAAACGCTTCCGTTTGGATTATCGTTTCCACAACTTCGTCTAACGCCTCAAACTCATTCGATCTAGCTGCTGAAACTACGGTTGATGATATAAATCCTGCATTACCTTAATGACCCTAAACTCTGGGAACTATGGTATATTCCATATTATGGGTAATGCAGGGTTCATATCCCTACACCCTAAAACCCTATAGATCCCTTAAAGGAGCCCCTTAAAGGTACCCCTATAGATCCCTTTAAGGGAACCCGAGGATTCATATCATCAACCGTACCCCTACGCAACAACGAGCCTCTAGCCTGCCAAGATGACACCTTCTAAGCCCGAACGACTCCTTATAGGGGCCTTAACAGATATATTTAGGGTTTAGGGTTTAGGGTGATGGAATCGGATTTGGGAGTCAATATAGCATATAAAGATATACTGAGGAGCCCTAGACAACAGTATTGGGGATGATTCAGGCCCTTGTATTGCACTACGAGACCGATCATAAGTGGTTACTGTCGCCGGGCTTAACGATGACATAGATAACAGTGATAGCAATTCGACTCTTGCTGCGAAGTGTAGGGATAGACTCGAATTCAGACCACCTTTTTCTCCGCTGGCGCATCTCAGCCAAAGTCGCGGATGGCTTGGGTTTAGGGGTTTAGGGTTTGGGGTCCTTGTAGGGTTTAGGGTTTAGAGCTTCGCTAGAAGTCTTACCAAGTCAGGTTTCAGGGTTGTGCTTCAGCCTGTAATTAAGGTTTGATCGCGTATAAACGAAAAAGAAGCCTTAGTAATTGGCAGAGGGCATAGGGTTTGGGGGCCCATTATACTATACCTACAATAAGGAACACCCAAAATAGTATTCATTATTTAAGCCCCTACATTAGCCTACATTGATGTCTACAGGGTGCGGGCAAAGTTGCGTCTAGGTAGCCAGTCATGCAGGCGCTTCATCTCCCCCTTGTTGACTCGGAACAGCAGTGCGTCCCCATGTTGCCCTAAACCTTAAACCCCGGGCACCCAGACCTTCCAAAACCCATTAATTAAGGAATATAGACCTTACATCATATTAAGAATCCTACTATGTCTTTAAGGTATTCATCTGATTGACGCCCGCCGAAGCTCAATTGCTTGCGTCGGGCCTCGCTCTGACACCGTCGGAGGATTTTGCCCTCGATATTCCTTACTTAACATAGGGATTTTGGAAGGTCTGGAAATAATTTTGCTACCTACGCTTAGCCAGATATGGCTTCTTTCCTCGGGTGGCGCTCACCGACTCACATTGCTCGATGAGGAACAAGATGTCGATGCCATCCTGCATTCGTTGTTTAGTTTGTCGCAGGTAAAAGCATGACAGGTGGAAAAGGATCGTTTTACTTACAACGCTGCTTCAAGCACACGCGGCCATTTACAGGGATGACAGAGACATGTTCGGCCTCAAAATACAGACAAATAGCCTGAAAACTTGATCTTAAGCCGAAGTAAGTCCATAATTACACGTAAGGCTCGCAATAGCCCATAATGCAATCAGGCAACCCTGAACCATATGTTGCCCATGACCGGGCGGCCTCAAGCATATCTGCGTTGCACTGCCGGAGCGCTACAATCCACTCCTGAAGAGGACAGGGCTTCGTGTTTCTCTTGTAGCACCAGGCACCCATGCAGAAGGGCTTATCTAGGTCGCCCGGTGTCCATTTAATAATAAGGGTAACCCTTACATAAAACGGACTGGGGAGCCTGGTTATACAATCAAAGAGGCATAAACAATACCCTACCAAAGCGGTGATTGTTGTGGAAGGACGGGTTCAAGGCCCCGAACCCGAAACCCGAGACCCCAAAAGGGTTCTGCAGTGTTTAGGGTTTAAGGCTTAGGATTCAGGGGCTTATAAGGGCTTGAGGTTTAGGGTTTAGGTTTGGGGGTTTAGGGTTAGGGAATCCAATTGTACAAGAAGCCAAGGTGAAGGGCTTGCATGTGCGAAGAAATCGCTTATTGAAGCCATCCGGAGCACTCACTGACATCCGCAACCTAACCCCTACACCCTAACCCCTAAACCTTAAACCAGGAGTCACGTCTCCTCAATAGCGCGCTGAAGGGTATCTTCGGGTGTGGGGTGCATGGTGCTCCCTCAGCCCTCTTTGAACAAGAACTCTACATTATCCATACACTCGACCTTCAAAGAAACGGCAAGTTTTTCGGGAGTTGACCGCCTTCTCAAGATTTTAGATCTTTAAAGAATCGCCGGATCCCCCTATTAGCATCACGAACTAGATGGTTAACCCGTTCTTCCCCGAAACCCTGAACACCGAACCTCTTTTGCCCTAAACGCCTGCTGGACACCTGTAAGAGCCTGCTAAGATCGCCATGTGAAGCCTGATCGGAACGCTGACAAACCCTGCACCCGGCTCAAAACCCCAATAGCTAAAACTCCAAATTCAAACATCCTAAACCCGGAAGCCCTAAAGCCCTCAAACCCCTAAAAAAACCCACACCCTGGAACCTGACGCGCTCAACCCTAACCCCTGAACCCTGAACCCCAAAAGCCCAAACACTACTAAACCTTAAACCCTGAACCCCAAAAGCCCTATAGGCCCAAAACCCGAAACTCGAAAAGCCCTAAGCCCAAAACTCTAAAAGGCCCTCCACCCTAATCCCTAATCCCTGAACCCCACAGCCTAAACTAGGGCCCCAAAAAAGCACATAAGCAAAAATTAGGATAGGGATGTCCCATATAAACCCCCTTTAACAGGAAGCCCATAAGGTAGGGATATCCCCACACAATGCTTATGCTTATGTGCCTTTTTGGGCCCCTATAAACACTGCTAACCTGTACTCCCTAAAAGAAGCCCCTGAGCCCGGCACCCACATGACCCGACGCACGGGCTGCGGCAGCGGTGTGTTGCGGTCGCCGGCTGGAACCTCGACCTAGCTCGGTGTCTTAAGTCAAAGGGGAAAAGGGGGGACCCTTATCATGGGACCCCACCCCATAATGGACCGTATAATGGGTATATAATAGCTATATCAAGGGTATATACCTAGGGGTCCTTATTAAGGGTCCCTCCTTTTATATACCCTTGGATTAAATGTCCAAGTCTGGGAAAAAGAGAGCCCTTTAAAGGGCTCCTTAAAGGGGGTTCGTGTAAGGGTCCAAGTCCCAGTAAGGGTTTACCGGGTTTCGGGGTTTAGGCTTTAGGGATTCGGGCCTGTTTAGGGCTTCAAATGTCTTCCTAGGGGTTGAACTGGGGTTGAATGGTTTGGGGCTTGGGCCTTTGCAGCGAGTTTACCCTAGGGCTCCAGTTACCTACATAGTAGGTTACCAACCGTAGTTTATGTATCCCAGTAGCCTACCATTTAGGTAGCTTGAGCTCTAGGGTTGGGGTTTAGGGTTGTGCGGTCTAGGGGATCTATAAAGGCTCCTCTAAGTGATCTATTCTGGAGTGCTCGCAGCGTGAAAACGAAGCAAACAAAACATGCAAGACATTTCAGAAGCCTAAGAAAACTTGTGCAGTGCTGGCAAAGAAGCCCCATTCTGCTTGTTTCAATTTAAGGGTCCTGGATCTTAAACCCGACACCCCAAACTTGACCCTGATCTTCAGAAACCAGCGCATCTCCGTACTCCTTCCGGGACCATCTCTGCAAAAGGCAACCTGAACCTCGAAACCCGTAAAACCGATAGTACCCTGATGAAGCAATGTTAGTCCAGCCCTTTCCGAATCTTTTCGAGCCCTGAGTGGCAGACTACTTACATTGGGCCAAACCCAGTGACCTAGTGCCGAAACCCGCAAAAAACACTAAGTGGAACTTTAAACGAACCCCTACAACAGGAACCCTCTGAGCCCATCCCTGAGGCTCAAAATAGCCCGAAAGCCTTACATAGATTGTCTTTGGGCCCAAAGGCTTCAAAATATGAGTCCTTAGAGCCTAAGGGCATCGGAACCCTGCTTCCTGCTAAGGGCCGAGAGCAAGGCGCCGTCCATAACCATGACCCCAGATGAACGAGGGACCTATTTGCTGTCCCACACTTCAACAGCCCTATTTAATCATGGAGCCGTACACCAACGGAATCTGGCGATGCAAGTATGTGCTGATTTCGGGGTTTAGGTTTGTGGGTCTTAAGTAGAGCTGTCGGGAAAAGCATTCAGTATGTAGCGACGTAGGGTTTCGGCAGAATTGGGTTTTAGAGGAGCCTAATACGTGCGGCTTTCTGGTTTGGGACCTTCGGCGACTGGTGGCGCTTGTGACGATGGTGTTGCTGATGCCGAAGATATCGCTGATGATGTTGATACAGATGAGGACAGCGCATCTGCTAAGATGAACACGGCGATAATGCCGATGCGGATGCTGATGGTGCTGATGAGGATGACGACGATGATGGTGACCGTGATGCTGAGGACGATGACGACTACAGGGATGCTGACACTGTTCGCAGTTGCTGCAAACTGCTGAGATTGCAAGATTTGGTTACGGACGTTCCTGGAGTTCAGCTTGGCGACACAGTCCCGCTCGAATTTCGAGCAGTTGTCACCGTGTATTCTGCTGCTGCTGCTGCTGCTGCTGCTGCTGCTGCTGCTGCTGCAGCTGTGTCGGCTTTTTGCTTCGGACCATCAAAATCCTACATCAAGCCCACATTCGACTCAGAATTTGTTCCCAGAGGCTCCTTGTATGTCTGTGTATATATATATATATATATATATATTATATTGCTATCATTGAAACAATTCTTGAAACCAGAATAAGGATGGTCTTTCTGGGGCCTGATATCATAATGGTAGCATAGATGGAGCCTCTAGGGTTCTTCCTTTATTATAGCACCCAAAGGGTCCAAGTATTAGTATGGTATATACTTATAGGGTATTTCGGGGGTAAAAGTATATACAATAATGATACGTTGGCCCTTTGGGGCACCCTTCCAACCTTCTAGTTCATGGTCGGGATAGGATTAAGCATGTATATTTTTTGTTCCTTACTGGTTTTCAGTACCCATAAAAGGTTAAATGTTGTCCTTATGTGTAGGGTAACTATATTTATAACCCATATTAGGGGACTTATATAACTCCACTTATAACTACCCATGAACCTCCAAGACCCTAAACCCTATGACCTTATAGATTTTCTACAGATCCCTTTAAAGGGGCCCTTAAAGAAACCCTTGCAACTACCCATGAAACCTCCAAGTGGTGGGCCCTAGAAAACCCAGCCTGGGCTCCCATCTGCTCCTCAAGAGTTTCGTCCTCACGGGCTTTAAAGGGATCTATAAGGGCTCCCTCAAGGGATCTATAAGGGGCTGCTTTAAAGGATCTATAAGGGTTCCTTTAAGGGATCTGCAAGGGTTCCTTTAAGGGATCCATAAGGGTTCCTTTAAGGGATCTATAAGGATTCCTTCAAGGGATCTATAAGGATTCCTTTAAGGGATCTGTAAGGGTTCCTTTAAGGGATCTATAAGGATTCCTTCAAGGGATCTATAAGGGCTCCTTTAAGGGATCTATACTCGTAGGCGACAAGGTCCGGAGTTTCGGGTTTGGGGTCTCGAGCCTTCCTGAGAACCGCCATGTTGTAAGGATACCTGTCATGAAGATATCTAAAGATGTTCCTACTGTTTCGAATCTCTCTTGGGGTCCCATTAAGTTGCGGGTTCAAGCTGTACTCAGCACCGGAAAAATACTAGATGTATGTATGCACATATATATATATATATATATATATATGCATACATATATGTGTATGTGCACGCACATATACGTGAACACAGAAGTAAGCAAACAAATGAATCAGTACACACGCATGTGTGTGTATATGTATACATATGTATTTACACACATACATGGCACATATATACATACTTCTGGTCTGTTTTTTTTTGGCGTGGCCCCGGCGGATTAACTCTAGTCCTATGTTACCGGAGCAGATCGCAGGACATTGTACATGTTGTCTACTAGGTTCCTGACAGCAGGTGCACTGCCAAAAAACAGACCCAGCCCTCAAACTCGCTCCGGAAGCTCGTGGCTTCTCGGCGAACTAGCTAAATCCCCAAACCTCGCCACAGACATCAAGACAAAAGCCAGTACTGAAAGATGAAAGAAAACACCCACCTAACTCTACGTCCCGAGCAAATTCGATCGTGAACCGCAGTCCTGGCATTTAGGATCTGTCACTATGCAACAAAGCTGTCGCCCTGAACTCGTCTCATTTCCTGAACACACACACACACACATATGTATCTATATATATATATATATATACTCTAAGAGGTACTCGGAAGCCTCACAAACCCCGAAACCTAAACACCCAAAACTCCCAAACTCCAAAACTCGATGACTGTGAAAACCCTGTCGGTCCCAAAACACTATAAAGACCTGACGGCTTCCCAGAGAAGACCAAGCCCAACACCTAAATCCCTAAACCGTAAACCCATCACCTCTGAACCCGAAAACTTAACCTCGCCACAGAACCCTAAAGCTTTGAAGGAACCCTAGTCCCTAAACCCTACCATAAGGCTCCTGGACCCTTGTAGTGAGATCCCGAACCCTAGCCCCCAAAGCCAACACCCTCCCCCAGAAAGCCCGAGACATTCTTAGGAGCCTCAGGGTAAACCCTAAACTCCTAAACCCTACAACCCCTGAACCCCTAAACCCTAAACCCCGCTTAGAAGCCTTAGGGTACATCCGAAAGCCCTGAAGGAACCTGAACCATTTTACCGGAGCACAAACGCGGCTTGTATGGAACCCAACCTCGACGAGGCGTCTGACGCCACTGGCCTTAGGCACAAAAGCCCTAAACTACCGGACCCATCTGAGGGTTTCGGGGTACAAGGTTAGAGTTTAGGGATAGGTACACGGGTTAGAATTACAGGGTTTAGGGACAAAAATGGAACAGCACCCAGGCCTAGCTAATGTAGCAGCCTCATCGAATCTGAACGGATCGTTTCCGACAGCTCTGCATGGCAGTCTCGACTAATGGAACTACGTAGCTCCCGGACCACGAACAGAAAGTACTACGGTATTTCCGGTGTCCTCCTAGAACCCATTTAACAACCAAACACAACCCGAGCCAAGAACCATGGAAGCTAGGCTAGGATGCCCATTAACCTGGGGATAAACAGGGCTCGCTTTTCGGTATCAAATAACTTTATAGGGAACCTAGGACTACAAAAAGGGAATAAGGATACTGCTGGGCATCCTAGTAGGCTGCAGCTTCATGGGCCGACAAAACCCTGTAACTTTGTCATGCCATCATGCAAAGGATCTTATAGGGGCTATAAGGTTCCAAAGGATCCCAGAATTAGGTACCTAGGTTTAGGATGGTAGCTATAGGTTACTATCTGGGACTCTAGATGTAAGGCCTTCAGAATGTTAAGATGGCTCGGGGGTACGTTATGCAAGTACAAGCAGCCCTCTGAAGCCAAAAAACAACAACAGTCAAAGCAAACCTAATTACACCTTTATAAGGGTTACAAGGTGATGTTACCCGCAGGGTCGTGCAAGTAAAAGCATAGTATGTACTTTCGGGGGCCAACTATCTACTAAGTAGCTATAATTTACTAAGTAACCTGTATTATAGGTGCTTGGGCTATGACCAAACCCTGAGGGACCTAATTATCATATATACTCTCCCAGACAGTAACCTAGATAACTACTATCCTAAACCTAAATACCCAATTATGGGATCCTTCGGACCCTTATAACCCCGATAAGATCCTTTGAACCGCTTCTAGAACCCTGTAAAGGAACCCAAATTATCCTAAACCTATATACGTACCTAATTATTGGGTCCTTCGGACCCTTGAAATACCCCATAGAAACCTTCAAAATCCTACCAGCCCCTTATAAGAATCCTGTGCCCTGAAGCTCAAAATAGCCCAAAAGAGTTATGTAGTATGGTCTTTGGGCCCAAAAGCCTTAAAATATGAGTCCTTAGAGCCTAAAGGTTAGGGAAACAACAAGCTTGGGCACCGGCGTCGAGCCTGAGCCCGGGAACTTTCCAGGGCTTCACCTCGCACAGGGCTTGGCGTATAGGGGCCTTAAGGGGTATAACCCTTAAGTTTGGGGTTAGGGCGGGTTTAGGGTGTATGGGGCCTTAGGACTAAGACTTTAGGGTTTAGTAATTCAGAGTGTTTTACTTTAGTTTTCGGGTGAATAAAGGGGCCTTGGGAATAACAGTTTAGGTGTAGGGTTTAGGGTATTAGAATAAGGGCATGTGGCCACATGATAGTATTAGATATGGAATCTCAAGGAATCGTAGCAATACTTGTTCAGGGTTACGGTTTCAGCGCGTGTTGCAAGGAACTTTGGGCGTAGAATTTGGGCCCTGAGTTCACCTTCGCGCTGCAGGTGCCCAAGCAATGACCTAGTGAAGTCTGATAAGTAACCTCCGCACTCGGTGACTGCAGCCGTAGGGTCACATAGACCCTGTAGAGTATACACGCGCTTCTTCGTTGATATGACCGCGTTTAACGACAGACTGGTGGGATTTCATAGGGTAGCCCACAAAGGGCTGTGAGATTTCTGGATCTCGTCTGTACCACTTACGACAGCAACACAACACCTGCTTGCTGGATCGGGGGTTCTGCGAATGGGGTGCAACTGCAGGCAAGATCACACCTAGAGCCAAAACACCAGGTCTACGGATCTTGAATGTGAAACCTCTAAGCCCTTTGTCCGAGGTCTGCACCCTCCCTCCACTGAAGTGCGCTACGACCACGTCATCGACAACCTCAGATGGCTTGGAGCTTCAAACATTCATACTGCTAGCGCTCAACCGTGTCATCCCAATATTGGGGTCTGAATACTGGGCAGGGGCAGCCCTATAGTTCCTGCGTATTTCATGCTACAAAGCGCTTTCTAATGAGTCACTAATACCTACATTTTCGAGGCCTCCAGTCCTACTTACCAACATAACGACAGAACTGAATCAGCCCAAAATTTAGGGAAACCATGCAATGCTCCCTTAAACAACAGGTACCCTTCGAATGCTGAAGGATTCTTCTCCGATTTAGTCGCGGAGCTGGCCTTGAAGCTTAGGCGAATAACTTCAAAAGGGGACAAGGAGGGACCCTTAATGGGGACCCCTACCCTAAAATGGGCTACATAATGGGTATATAATATCTATATAAAGGATATATTCCTAGGGGTCCTTGTTAAGGGTCTCTCTTTTTACCCTTGCGGGTTTTGCGACTTGCAAAGACAGCGCTATCAAACAATGGCATGAAGCCCGAATGCTTGCTATTTTGAAATATTTAGAATACTTTCGAGCCCCGAGTTCGCTGAACCGACTACTTTCAACCCCCAAGCCGTAAACCCTGAAAGTTGAGATCTAAACTGACCGACATGCCAAGACGACAACCCAAAACCCTGGGGCCGAACACACATCTCACTCAGGCCTATATAAGCTGGCAGCTGTAGGGCTTAGGAGTCTGCACGGGCTAGGAGTACGGTATGGGGTTTAGATTCCGCATTTTAGACTCCAGGGCCGAAGTCTATGGTTTTAGGGCTAAGGCTTTAGGGTTTGGGGCCCATGGTTCGGCATAGAGTCCCTAAACCCTAAACTCTCAACCCCGAAGCCTAAACCCTAAACCCTCAACTCTAAATCCTAAACCCTTAACTTTAGGGGTTTAGGGCTTGGGGGTTCCCACCTACAACACTGAAACATTAAGCACCAAGTGCCGAACGTCCAAGGCCCGGTGGGCTGAACCGATGTAGTCGTTGGGGAGATTCGGCTGGTAGTTAAACCTGGTTCGCTGTTTGGGACTGAGGGTCGAAAAAAGACTCTACTACAGGCTGGGGTATGTTATACCGGTTATACCCTGAACCCAAAACTGTAGAGTGTACTTATGAAGAGCAGACGAGGAAGTTGATAGATCATTATCCTCATGAGCTTCGCGCAGAGTCTAGGATGCCCGGTAACCTAGGAATAAACAGGGCTCCCTTTTTGGTATTGGGTAACTTTATAAGGAACCTAGGACTACAAAAAGGGAATAAGGGTACTACTGGGCATCCTAGGAGTAGAGAGACATGGAGCAATAATGATCCTCAGCTTCGGTGTAGGATGTTCAGGCTTGGGAGCCTTGGCATGAGGACTACGCAAATTTCAATTTCTGGGCTTTAGTGTTTAGGGTTAAGGGGTTAGCCCAAGGGTCCAAAGAACCCAATAATTAAGTACTCGGTTTTAGGATAGTAGTTATGTAGGTTGGGATTTTGGAGAGTATTTGATTATTAGATACTTGGACCCTTGGGGTTATAGGGTTCAGGGTAGGATTAAGGAGTACCAGACTCGTACGTTTGTATTTTGAACCCACAGATGTGTGCAGGGATTTGGGTTTGCGGGACACCCGCTTCTTATCCAGCCGGGCATCATCATCACCATCATGCTCATCGTCATCACAACAAAAGAACTAAATGCAACCACAACTAATAAACATCTTCGACGACCAGCCATCTTCTGCTGAGCAAATTGCGTTGTTGTGCTGGTCATTTGTCGTACAACAGCAGATGGGGAGGCCATCGCAGTTTCTCAGCGTCATAAGACCGGACCAGACCTAGCTTCTTAAACCTCAACCCTGAAATGCCCTGGCCAGCAACCATGCAACCTATCTGCAATCATTTCCGTCCCCCTTGCTCTGGGATTTGCCGAGGCGGTAGCTTGGCATGCAAGTGGGTCCACGAACCGCAGCCGAAAGTGCTGTAAAAGCGAGCCAGGTAGTCTTGCCTTGTGTTTGGGATCGAGGGGTTCAGGAGTTCGAGGGCTCAGGGGTTTGGGGTTCAGAGGGCGACCCTACACCCCTAAACCCAAAACTCGAAACCCAATTTTTTCTTCCTGGCTCAGGAGTTCAAGGGTTGAAGGGCGCATGAATTTATGTGCTTACGGGGTTGGGGTGGGTTCGGGATCCGGGCTTTAGATACAATGCGCCACCAAGCGCACCCTAAACCCCTAAACCCCTAAACCCTTATAAACCCTAAACCTCTAAACCCTAAACCCGAAACCCTAAACCCCTGAACCCTAAACCCCTACAAACCCTAAACCCTACACCCAGACAGCCTCGAAGCCCAGATGCAAAGAGTCGGCCTGGATCCCTAAACCATGTAGAACTTATCGTCTTACCCAAACGGTCCAAAGTACCTTTATACCAGAGTGTAGGGTTTCTATATTAGGAGCTACTATTATGATTTGGGGAAGTGTCCCCCATAACAGTACGTTGGACCCTTTGGGTTAATAAACCCGGACTCTAAACCTAAAGCCCCAGACCCTACATAGGACCCCCTAAACCCATAAAACTCTGTCTGGGCCCGGAAACCTAAATAGGACCCCAAAGTCATGACACTCTTTTTTTCCCTGCATGAAGCCTAAATTGGACCCCTGTTTTGAAGCCAAACTGATAGTCCAGGACGGCAGAGTTCCCAACCAGGAGTTTTGGTTCTAGGGTTGGCACTGCCCCCATAGGGTTTAGGGTTTAGGGGTTTAGGGCTGAGGGTTGGGTTGAGGGTTTCGGGAGGCCTTATAGATAAATACTGTTCAAATAATGCCGAGTGGAGGCAGTGTCCAAGTTCTGAGGGCTGTCTGGTCCCAATGCCGAACCTCCGAACCTCAATGCTTCAAAAACTATAACTCTAATTAGAATAGTAGCGATGACGACAACAACAGCAGCAATCATGAGTACAGTGCAAACAGTAGTAATACTGAGAACCTCAATAGCAACCATGAGAACAACAACACAACACAACAACAGCAATACTGATAATAACAATAGTAAACATCATAACAACTGCGAAGCAAGAACAGCAGTACTGAAATATCACTAGCAACCATGATAACAACAGTACCAGTACAGAGCTATAAGGCCCCCCCAAACCCCACATACACCTGGGTAGTTGTCAAAGTTCGGGTCCCTTGTTGGGTACCCTAAATACGACGATGGCCATGACCAAGCACTTCAGGCGCCGACTCCGGCCCCAGCGTGCCAAGATGCTCAGGGTTGTTGGGATCCTGGACTAAGGTTGTCAAGGGAGTAGGGTTTAGGGTTCAGGGCCTAGGGTTTAGGGCATAAGGCTAAGGTATTAGACATTAGGGTTCAGGGTATAACGCTCAGGGTATGAGGCTACGCGATTGGGTTCAGGGTATATCGCTTTGGGTTTCGGGTACAGGGTATAAGGCTTAGGGCTTTTCACGCTAAGGTCCAGAGTTTAGATTCAGGGTTTAGCCGGGCTTCGGCTTGTAAGGCCCCAAGGCCGGTCCTTGTCATTTAGGGGCCCTACTAAAGTAAAAGCCAGAAAGTTGGAATATGATTATCCTATACCCTTTATGGCAAATTATAAGGTATCCTACCCTAAAACCATATTCCAACTTTCTGGAGTTCCCTTTCATTCGAATAGGGTTTAGGGGCCGTCCCTAGCATCTCCTGTATCTCCTTGACCATGCGATCGTACACGTCCTGGTTCGGCTCCAGCAACATTACCTTGGGCATATGGCCGAGGTGCCTTAAGCTTTCGCTGGTGGCTCAGCGACTTCATGAAACAGACCGTCATCAGGGCTTGCATTCAGGCTTGCAGAAGCATCTCGGAGTGAAGATCGCGGAGGCTTGACTACAGTATTTGTGGTTTGGACTGTCGTGTCGCAAGGTCTTGGGGTTCATGGTATGGTATTTCATGCTTGTGATTTGGGCTGGGGGTTTCGAACTTAGGCTTTCTGTTCAGCTTTGATTGACAAAAGCAAGAGCTGCACATCAAAGGCTGCTGGTACAGAACTAGGCGTGCGAGCTAAGGGTGCCAAACCGAACCTTCGCTTTCCGGCTCAGGCTTGGTGAAAAGAACCGCGAACCTAACTCTCGGAAGGGGAAGCCAAAGCAAGTCTGAGGCCAGGGACGCCCGTGAATCCTATATAGCTCCAAAACAGAAATAAGCCGTGAGCCGTCGACCACTCCTCATTCCTGGATCGCCCTAGTACGACTGAGATCGCGGCCCCTGCATTGATCCCGGAACACATGCTGTCCTTTGTGATCCAAGTCTTGGTAAAATGATTCTAGCTTCGGGCGCAGGGCTTGGGACTGGAAAGTTCAGGAGGTTCAAGGTTTGTTGCTGTAGCCTTCTTTGTTTGAGGGTTCAGGGATCCTCGTCCAGCGAACAGAATCAAAAGTGTACGGGCCAACTTTTCTGGGTTACCTTGTAGAGTCTTGAATATAAAGCAAAGACGGACCTCCAATGCAGACTACAGACAGGATTCGCGTCAGAGATTGAAACGTAAAGGTCCAAGAGAGGTCAAGATCCAACAGGAAGTTGTAAAGAGTCTTGAAGAAGCTTTCCGCTCTGCAGCCAAATTCAGTTCGACCCACTCCACACCTAAACCTAATAGCCTATTTTGTGATTTCCATTCCTCCCGTACCAACAGCCAAAGTCACTGTCACGCTCGTAAGATTCGACCAGAATGAATACAAGCGAGACCTTTGATTAATGACAAATACTAGTAGGAAGCCACACATTGGGCCCCTTAGCGGACTATTGAACATCCCAGACGACCTGGAGTTGCAGGCCGAAACGCTAAACCCTAATGCCATAAACTTAAGACTCAAAGCAAAGGAGGCAACAGCTGAGGCAGACACACACTGCTTGGACCAAAGATCCTTCACGCGATCTTCCTACTTGGAGTGTACGGGGTGCAAAATTCGGACTTTAGGGTCTTTACAGTAGAAGCCCAAAAGTTGGAAACGTCATAGCCTCAATCCTTAAGAGTGATGCATAGGGAATCCCAGCACTATTTGGCCGTAATCCAGCTTCCAACTTTTTGGGGTTTACTGTACCCTAAACCCTAAACCCTAAACCCCTAAACCCTAAACCCTAAACCCTAAACCCCTAAACCCTAAACCCTAAACCCTAAACCCTAAACCCCTAAACCCGGCTTCAGGGGTGCAGGGGCCCAGAGTCTCGCACGACTTGCTGGGGTTCGCGGATATCTGAAAAAAGGGGCGGGAAGCCCTAAACCCTAAACACCTCAACGCTAAACCCGAAACACCTCAACCCCGAACACCTTAAGGGTCTAAACCCTAAACCCCTAAGCCCCTAAACCCTAAAATCCTAGCCTAAGGCTCAAAGTGGCCCAAAAGCCTTGTGTTACATGGTCTTTGGACCCAAAAGCCTTAAAATAGGAGTCCTTAGATCCCTATAAACCCTATAGATCCCTTTCAAGGACCCCTCATAGATCCCTTTAAAGAAGCCCTTATAGATCCCTTTAAAGGAGCCCTTTAAAGGAGTCCTTAGAGCCTAGGGCTAGCAGGGAGACTCGGGTTCTTCGCTCTGGGTTTGCGCCGTATTAGGGTTTAGGGTTTAGGGTTTAGGGCTTAGGGTTTAGGGTTTCGGGTTTAGGGTTTAGGGTTTAGGGCTTAGGGTTTAGGGTTTCGGGTTTCGGGTTTAGGGCTTAGGGTTTCGGGTTTCGGGTTTCGGGTTTAGGGTTGAGGGTTTGCTTGGAAAGTTTCGGCCTTGATGCATAGAAGAGCTCGTAAGAAAGGGCCCCAACAATTAGAATAGGGTCATGGGGCCCCTTATACAAATACGCTAGGTAATTATTCAGGGCCCTATGTTAGAAGAGCTTATAAACCCTATATCATATGGGAGTTTCCGGGAATAGGGGACACTAACATAGTACCCTAAATAGTTGGATCCTTATTGTAGGGCGTAGGCTGAAAAGGTCAGGTCAAGGTAAGTTTGAGATTCGGATTGCCAGACGCCGTTGTGAATGTACCGGCACTAGGCTTAAGATTTGCGGTTTGTGGGAGCAGAGGTCTCGAGTATTGAGCTTCTTGTAACGCTCAGGCAAAATGGCCCAAAAGCCTTGTATAGTGTGGTCTTTCAGCCCAAAAGCTTTAAAATGTGAGTCCTTGGAGCCTAAGGATAAGGACTCAAGCAACCAATCAGGCCCTGTAGCAGGCTGGCTTCATCCGCCTGCTAAAGAACAACCCTGAACCCTAAAACCCTAAACCCTAAACCCCTAAACCCTAAACCCCTAAACCCTAAACCCTAAACCCCTAAACCCCTAAACCCCTAAACCGCTCAACCCTAGAAGCCTAACACCCCGTTGTTGGACTTGAGGGCTGCGAGTCCCAGCAAGCCTCTGAGTTAAAATCCCCACCGTGCTCGGGCTGCTCGCCGCCTGTCTGCTGTGCTAAGGCTGCTGACCGATTTCGGGGTTCCTTGAAGTAGGGTTCCTGGAAGGGTACTTTAAGTTTAAGCCTTTTCGGACTTCTGGGTTGTAGTGTTGTAGGATTTTAGGGTTGTGGGGTTCAGGGGTTGTGGGTGTAGGATTGCAGGGGTTGTAGGGCTGATTTAGGGTTGGAGGGTTTTAGGACGGCAAGGCTCAGGATTTTACGGTTTCGGGTTGGCAGAGTTTAGTGTTGTAGGCTTTGGGGTTGCAGGGCATTGGGTTGCAGGGTTGTAGGCTTAGTGGCTTAATGTAATTGTTCTTGAAAGGGCTCTTTTGCGAGAGTCTTGGGTTCGGGGTTTAGGGTTCATGGCGTAGCCTTTAGGGCTGAAGGTTCTTGAGGTTAGCAAGGATTTTGTCAATTTAGGGATGGCAAGATCGAGGGCTACAGAGATAGATGTTATCACATACACACCATGCACAGTTTCATGGCGGTATCAGAAGGGGTTGGAGGCAAGTTTCCCCAGAGCTTCCAAAATCTCTGAATTAAGGAATATACCTTACTTAAATCATACTAAGGATCCTACTGAGGTTTGCTCCTTGATAAAGAGATTTTGGAAGGTCTGGGTCGACGATCCATGTACCCAAATAGTATATACTTTGGGCCCAGTGTACCTACTATATAGGGAGTACGTTAAGGCCAAAGTATTTTCTATTTGGGCACATGGACCCTTAGGGTCAGTGGATCAAGAAAAGAAACAAAGCACAAGGAATATGAGCCTCAACATGCCTCTAAACGCTCCAGGTACGCCAAGACCGAAACCAGATGCTGTAAATCTTGCATCCCTGGCGTCACTGGAAGCCAGATCGCTCCCAGAACTCCCAACACCTTCGCGCCGCTGAGGGCATCACCAGAGCAGCGTTTCAAAGCAGCCGGGGCACCTCGTCTCACAGAGACTGATAGTAAAGTATAGTAAGATGTGGTAAAGTATGGTAAAGTATGGTAAAGTACGGTAAACTATGGCGGCCCTATATATGAGGTTCTAAATGGGTTTGCATACGGGATTAACTAAGCGATACTACAAGGGTCCTACAAAGGCTAACTATTCGGTTGCAGTGTGCTGCAGAAGTTACAATACTATAAGGATTTAAGCAAGGGCTCCTATAAACGCTGTATGTTACCGTAAGAGCTACTCTAAAGGCTGCCGTAGCTATGAGGCGACCGTATTCCAATAATTCTCATAAGGATCCAGATTCAACCTTCTTGCACAACCCCCCTAAACCCTAAACCCCTTAACCCTAAACCCCCCAACCCCATATGTACAGCAACGCTACGGAGGCAGGTCCTGCAGCGAAAGCATCTTTCGAAGGCATGCCGTGCTGACTTACAGCAACAAAGCTACGTCCCAAGGAAAGATCGTAAAGCCTGACAGCAGAATGATATACTGTAGCTATAGGTACATGTCCTCTTGGGCTAAAGCCCTGACACTACATGATAAACTCCACAACCATCTTGGCATCTGGAGCTCAGGACACTTCGTGATATTGAAGCGGACGAACTTGAAGTACGGACTAGTCGACTTGGGTACTACAGGAGACTACCTTTGGCCAACGCAACTGGTGATTTGGAGAGCAGTCAACCCTGTGGATGCTATACAAGCCTATCCCTTCGGCTCTAAGGACTCATATTTTTAGGCTTTTGGGCCCAAAGATCATACTACATAAGTCTTTGCTATTTTGAGCCTTAGGGTATGGATGGGGATTGTTGGGCAGTAGGACAACCAGGCTTCGGAGCGAAGCGTATAACACAAAAGGCATGCTGGAACTCGGAGTACGTAACCCGGAACACTAGGCCGGAGCCTCAACCTTTGAGCGTGTGAACATAACCCTAAGGGTCCAAAGGACCCAATAATCAGGTACTTGGGTTTAGGATAGTAGTTATGTAGCTCAATATTTAAGAGAGTATATGATTATTATGTACTTGGACCCTTAGGGTAATGTTCGACATCGAGGTTCAAGAAGCTCTTGGGCGGAACGTCCGCACTGTTGGAGACTTGAAGTGCAGGGGCCCTGAACCCTGAACCTATACTCGCAACTCACAGCCCTCCGCATGTACTGTACATGCCACCTCTTCTGCTCTAAAGACTACCCGTTGTGTGCAGAGGGGCTTAACGCTGCCAAATCCTGTGCATGGCATGCCGTTACCTCGCAGCCCAGGTACCTTCATAACCGGCTGCAACTTACAACGGCTTGTGAATACCACATCGATACCCTACATCGTTGTGCACGGGGTGCTATGCTGCCCGAGAACAAAATCCACGATATGGCGAATGTGGTTTGTTTAGCTTGAAGTTTCATGGGTTTGGGGTTAACCATGACATGGTAAATGCTCAAATTGTATGCTTCGGCACAGAGGAAGTCTCTAAGCAAAATGCGATTTGCCCAATGATCGCTGGGTGCTGCGCGAAGGTAGAACAGTTCGTCCAGGTTGCCGCGAACAAGCATGTCAAGATCCATCATCAAGACCTGTCAGATGGGAATGTCAACAGGCCGGGTTCAGGATTTGGGGTTTAATGTCAACGGGCTGGCTCGCATCAGTCTGAACCATGGCCGAAAGCCTAAACCCAAAGCCCCACACCTGAGCAAACAATGGATACTCCTTCTGACCACAAGCTTTGAATCGAGTTGTGCATTACTGGCGGGATCCTCCGAAGAAGCGCATCAGCATCAGTATCAGCATCGACATCATCACGTCAGCTTAACCCAGCATCATCACGATCATCACCATCATCATCATCACGATCATCATCGTCGCCATCCTCATCAGCAACATTTTCACCGTCATCATAAGCGTCATGACGGTGCTGAATATCACCATTTTGTGGTGTGGCTTTTCTACGGCAATCGTAAAACCCCGTGGAGTAATCTTTAGCAGGAACCTTGTTCTAAACACTAATGCTGCAATGTCAGTACCTAACAGCGATCCTCACAGATCCCCCTTAAAAGGAGCCTACGAAGAACACTAAAGCCTCCGTCTGATTATCAAGGACCTTACAAAACAGAAGCCTATGGCTATATTGTAAAATATAATTACACCGAAACGAATTTTAAAATCCCGAGACCCCTAAAGCTTGTGTTGTTGAGGCCCCTAGCGCCTCTCTGATGTTTTTTCTGAACCCAGCCCCTCAACCCTAAACCCAGAACCCTAAACCCTGAACCCTAAACCTAATCCCTGAAACCTGACCCGTAAACCGAGCCGCCTTGTCGAAATCAGTGCAGCTCAGCGCTTGGAGCTTGGTGAAGACGTCCTGAGCTTTCTGGCTTCTTTCTGCATGCTTCCTATAGTTCAGGGCTGGGGTTTCGGGATTATGCAGGGCTTAAGGGTTTAAGGCTTAAGGGTTTAGGCTAGGCGGCTTGCAGCACGAGGGCTTCAGGCGTAGGATGTGGAGTTCAGGATTTGTTTGTGGTCTAGTCGTTAAGTCTCTGGGATTTGGATTCGACTTGAGTGTATCATTTAGGCGGAGATGATTTACTTTGGGACAGGTCGGGTGTTCAAGCGTTTGAGTCTAAGGCCTCATGGATTGAGGTCGCTGAGTTTGGGCTTTGGGATGACAGCGTCAAGCTCTGGGCATTGGACTTATAGGCTTTCGATGGCTCTCGCCCGCGAAGCACGAAATTTTGCTTCCTTGATTCTTGCTGCCGCACAAGTCATGCGATTCCGCCCAGTCTGGAAACATCTTTCTGCAAAGCAGACTCACAAACCAGACGCCCCGCGCAAACAGTTCGCGGCCTTGAAACAAGAATCCGCAAGAGCAGATTGGCACAAGTATCCCCATCACAAGCTTGTTCCAAACATCTCCTGTCTACAAGCTGGCAGTGTACTTCAGCGAGGTCGAAGAAAGGGTTAAAGCGTCTACAAGCTGGCAGTGTACTTTAGGGAGGTCGAAGAAGGGGTTAAAGCCAGCGGAACAGATAGATAAAAGCGGGATAAACAACTAGGGAGACAGAGAGATAGAGATACTTGTTTCGACATATGTACTTAAATCAAGCAGATTAGATAGATTGGACGGTAAGCAGCTCCACGAATTGTGCCTAGAGTATACACTAGAGTATACACATTACGTGTGGAAGCTCAGGGACACTTCCAACGAGCATTACTCGGTAATAAAGGGGCCTGAATAGTTGGAATAGGGTTTTGGGGCCTATTGTACTATAACTATAATAATGTATATCAAAAATTCGGGATGGTATATTAATCATTCGGAATGGCGTTCATGGCAATGCAAGACGCAGTTGCATGCCGATTCACGCAGCCCTCGCTTGCTGAGGGCAGATACCCGGGGGCCGAAATCATGAGGGTTTCGGGTTCAGGGTTTAGGGTCCTTCTGGGAATTTGTGTCGCTTCTGCCCCGGAGAACATGCGTGCTCAGCCACTGTGCATGTGGATGATGCATGGCTCCACTGCTGTCCCAAGAAGACGTCAGGGTGGCTCTGGAGTATAGTTCTGGCGCTATGCTATCAAACCGCATAATTAACATAACGGGTTGCAGAAACATTGCTGGCCTCGTAATGATAATGCGTACTTTCGAAAGCTATCTAACTTTCACGGCGCCTGCTCTGATCAGTCTTCCCAAGACAGGGTGGCACCCATGCGCTGGACATCCCTTAGCGTGCGGCCTGGGTCCACAACCGAACCCATCAGATTGAAACCCGGGTGCTTGATCGAGCCATCTAGGACCTGCGCCACACACGAGACCACCGCCACAGCGGTGAAATCGTAGGCATCAGGGCTTGTCATGGTGACGACGGAGCGGTGTTGCCCTTTGTGGGAATTTCCCTCCAGCTCTGCACGGAAGACCACCCCCTCACCACGGGCACCGAAGCGGCGCATACCCCAGTTGAAGATCCCGGTGAGACAGTCCACACTTCGTCGCCCAAGCGCCATGGCCAAAGGCAGGACCAAGTAGTCAACAAACCTTAACCCCAAGTAACCTACCTTTTTAAGGACTTATACAAAGAAATCATATTAGGGAACCCTATAAAAAGGCAGGTTCCGTAGGGTCCAGGAACCAGTTGAAACCTGCAGCGTAAGACCCACCATCTCGGAGGCCGAGGCTTGCAGTGTCTAGAGCCTCAAGCTCCCGCATCCGGAGAGGGAAGCACTCTTGGTTGCCGAAGGTGCCTCCGAAGCTACATTGAGCCTCGGTTCTTTTAAAAGGAGCTGTTTCAAGTTATCATATAATAAGGAAACCGTATAAAACATATTATAGATCCCTATTATTTTTTGTGGTAACTTTAACTACAATCCTTATCAGAACCAAGGAGCAATGTCCTTGTATGTCGCATCGCGCCAGGCGCCCTCCTCCAGAACTCGAGCCGAGGAGATCGCGCATTCTTCGATGAGTTCTCGAGCTGAGCTGGGGCTGTCAAAGAATGAGCCGAAAGCCATGAAGACACGTGCAGAGTGAACCTGGGCCAGGTTTTGCGATGCATATTTCACCAGGGGTGCCACAAGGCCGGGGTGACATCCCGCCTGGGTAATGACCAAGCGCCCAGACGAAAGGATCTCAGACTGCATCTCTGCGAGGCGGTCGTGCACATCTGCTTTGAACATGACGTCGATGGTGTCGGTCTTGGTCGCAAGTGCGGCTTGTACGATGGATGGGATCGCATCTGGCGTGGTTGTCGTGACAATGAGCAGATCGATAGATTGGAGAGCCGCCTTCAGGGACGCCGCATCCGTTGCATCGACGCGAGCTCCTTTGACGTCCCGGCCCGGGAACTCCTCCACGAGCGCCTCGGCGAAGGCCTGGGCGCGTTGCAGATCCCGGCCGGCGACCACCACTTCGCAGGGGAGTTGCTCGACAAGGCGACGTGACACTGGCCGGCCGGTGCCGCCGTATCCACCCAAGACCATCACCCGAACCATGGTGCCAAAGGGCTCCAGTTACTTTGATAATAGGTGGCTGAGATCTGTAAATACGCGGATAGTAACCTACTATTTAGGTAACTGGAGCCCTAGGGGTGGAGAAAGGAGGAAAGGTGGCTTCTTGATCGCTCTGCAGCACTATGCATCTGATCACACCGCAAGGGTCCAAAAGACCGAATAATAAGGTACTTAGGCTCCAGACAATAGTTTTGTAGGTTAGTATTTGAGAGAGGGAAACTGAAGAAGCAGTGCAGTGGGCGCTTCAGGGATCGCCTGCGTGGCCTCGATATCTGTCTGGGTCAACTATTCTCTCGTCCGGACAACAGCAATGAAAATAGCTCAAGCCGCCACATCCTTGCAAGCTTCAGTCCTGAAATCGAGACTCGTCCCAGTTGTAGAACATCGCCTTGTCGCCGTGAAGGTAATCCACCTCCGGCAGCGATTATAAATACAAAACTGAAGCCACGAATTCTGGCTAGTAGGATACTTACGATACGGAACCCTGCATCAAGTAGGCGTACCTCTTCCCCAAAAGGTCCAAAATAGTTATATAGCACGATGTAGAGTTTCTATATTAGGAATTATACTACCATGATTTGGGGAAGTATCCCCATGACGGTACGACGAGAATCCCCGCCATCTTGTGCTTTTCATGCATGGGTCGCGGGTTTCCGGAGCTCGGCCTTGCGGTAGAAAGCGCCTGAACCCTCAGCCGCTTCTGGGCAACCCAAAGGGTGCAAGTATCACTACTGTTGATGCACAAAATCCTGCATGACCTCAAGGACCCTAAACTATGGGAACTATGGTATATTCCTTATATTGGGTCATGCAGGATATTGTCCATCCACAGTATGGTATATACTTATAGGGCATTTTGGGAGCCTAAGTATATACCATAATGATACTTAGACCCTTTTGCGTTTATGGCTTTTGGGTTTTGAGGGTCCCGGGCCTTGGGTTAGGCTCGAGGACTGCGGGGTGTTGAGGGTTCAGGGTTTCTTCAGGACCTAAGACTGACCTAACAGTATATAATAATACTTCGCCATAGAGTCCGGAGGAGGTTCTAGGCGCTGTAGGGTCCAAGCATATGCTAGAAACCCCGAACCGGTACGTAATATAGGGGCCTAATAATATTTAAAATAATTACCTATACTATTTGTGGGGCTCCTTATTATATTATAGTATAAGGTGGCCTTGAACCCCATTTAATTTTTAAGGCCCCTATATTACCTGGACTCTTATCTGGAAGTCGTAAATGTAGATCAGAGATCTTGGTCCAGAGCGTGCCCGGAGCGATGTTGCACGTTTTTAGTTAGGCCTTAGGGTTCAGGGCTTTAGGGTTTAGGCTGTAGAGTTTAGGGGTTTAGGGTTTAGGGGTAGAGGGCCTAGGTGTTTAGGGTTTAGGGTTTCGGGCTCAGGGTTCCTGTGGACCTTGCAACAGCCGACAACGACAACAAACACACGGCCCCTAAGGAAAGTTCCAATACCCGCAAAGGCTAAACTCTCCATCCTGAGCCCCAAAAATGTTGCCAACTCAATGCCCCTAAAACCTGAAACCTAAACCCTAAGCCCTATACCACTAAACCCTGTACCCTAAACCCCTAAACCCTGCACCCTAAACCCCTACAGCCTTTATAAGCCCTAAGCATCCCCTCGGGGCCTGCCGCAGGAGCCAAACTTTCTCCAGAGCCTCAAGGAACGGCAGAGGAACATCCTGGAGCCAGGCGCAGGATCAGAGCTCCATTTTTGGGGAGTGATTCAGGCTGTAGGGGTTTGGGTTTCGAGGGCTTTAGGCTTGAGGGGTTTAGGGGTTTGGTTTTCGAGTGGTTTCGGGTTTAGGGGTTTTGGGTTTCTAGGGATTCAGGGTTTAGGGGTTTGGGTTTCGAGGGGTTTAGGGTTTAAAGGTTTGGGTTTTGAGGGTTTAGGGTTTAGGGTGCAAGTTCCCCAGGGCTCCAGATATGCACACAGTAGGCTACTGGGATATATCCTATATGGCTATAGTAACCTACTAGTTAGGTGCCGTAGGACAGGGCATTTTGAGTTTGCGCTTTCGGCGCATGAACTTGTTCAGCATAGCGTTTGGTGATTAAAATGTCTGTGCACTGCTCGCATTGGCAGGCGGCAACAGGCAGATCGAGAACATCCTCTCAGCCAAACAATAACCCTAAGGGTCCATGTACACAAACAGTAAACTTAATACTTCGGCCCGAAAGCATCTATATGGGGAGTTTGATTAAGGCCGAAAGTGCATACTATTTGGGACTATTTGGGCACATGGACTCTTCGTGTCAACTTCCATCCTGGCTCCTGGGACAGTCGAGGCTGTCGGTCTCAGACGTATACCAACATGTAAATGATGAGAGGGAGAGAGTGAGAGAGAGAGGGAGAGAGAAAGGCAGAGACAGAGAAAAAAAGAACGAGAGAAAGAGGGAAGGAGAGGGAGAGAGAGAGAGAGAGAGAGACAGACAGAGAGACAGAGATACAGAGAGACGGAGAGACAGAGAGAGCGAGCGAGAGAGAGAGAGAGAGAGAGAGGGAGAGAGAGAGAGAGAGACAGAGAGGGAGAGAGAGTGTGTGTGTGTGTGTGTGCGAGACAGAGAATGTGAGAGCGAGAGAGAGAGAGAGAGAGAGAGAGAGAGAGAGAGAGAGAGAGAGAGAGAGAGAGAGAGAGAGAGAGAGAGAGAGAGAGAGAGAGAGAGAGAGGGAGAGAGAGAGAGAGAGAGACACAGCCATCTATGTATCGGCCCAAAAGTTACAAAATCTGAGCCTCTTATCTTTCAGGCCAAACACTATTCATCCCGCAGGTACATGGACCTTTCTGGGTTTCTAGTCCCACTTGGTGCCCTCAGGGCGAGTCCTCCGTGTGCAGCAACAGACGCTCGGCTTCGCATCCGCGTGCCCGCAACGACCAACCTCGGGGTTCAGGGAAGCCCCAAAGTGTCCTAAGTACCTACATAGTAGGAACTGGGGTTTCTATTTTAGGAATGACTGTTATAATTTGGGGATCCCCCAAATATGTACTGAGGACCCCCTTTGAGGGTAAAGGGTTATTGGGAATTTTGGCGGTCGAGGTGGTGGATTTAGGGTCTAGGGTCTAGGGCCTGGAGTGAAGCTTACAGTTCATATAAGTAGGCCTAGCTTTTTCGCTTTAAAGCCATTAGAGGGTTCACGGCCTAGTAAGGTAAGGCCCCCGACCAAAAGCAATCTACGGTACAAAAGCTGGGAAGCCCCGACAGAAGGTGGGTTCACAACCCCAAGCCCTTAGCTGCATGGTTCAAATATTGCACAGGGTTTCAGAAATAGTAAGGCTCATCTAGGGCATTGCGCCTCGAATCCCCCAGAACCTCTTTAAGGTTTGACTGGTAATTCAATAGTTGTCAGTAGAGCTTACAAGTGTGAAGTATTCAATGGTTTGCCAGTAGAGTTTACAAGCTTGAAGCAATCAATAGTTGTCAGAGTTTACAAGTGTGAAGTAAGACAACACGAACTATACATAGCCCATTGGACGGGAACTTATTATTTGTCCTTCTAGCCCCACTTGTAGCTACCCATGCACCTGTAAGTTTGGTACCACACACACAGCCCCATACATACATAGCCCCTCGAGCCGAGTTCATCGGATGCTACCTTAACCAAGAGGGTCCATATACACTACTACTATGGAACTAGGTGCCAAAAACCATACTGAGGATGGTCCTTTGGGACCTACTTCCACAATGGTAGTATATGTGGACCCTCTGGGTAATAGCGTTTCAGGCACAACGTGTACGACAGTTGAGACTTCGATCAGACGAAGGCGCCAGGGCGACGTAACCAAGACGCCTTGTAAGACTCATATAGAAACCTTCTCATCAACCCTTCTGGTTTCTTTAGGTCGTAATTAAGCCAAACAGCGATTACAGCAACCCCTGAACCCCATATAGCCAAGTCCTCAAGCTTCAGTCTCGCTCTCGGGCCCTGTTCCCAAGATGCCGGCCCAAGACCAAAGCCCCGAGGAAGTATTCCACCTCTGATTGCACGGCTTCCGGTCTCGGATTGAGGCTGTGGGGATTTTTCGAAGTGTAGGGTCTGGGGCTTGAGGCCTTTTAGGGTTACCCTCGACCCTAGAAACCCCATCTGGTTAAGGACTTCTGAAAGGAAATAAATACCGAAGGCGTCGGTTTCTTTCGGCTGAAGGCTTGGAGTCTCAGGGGGCTGCCTACATAGCGTATGAGCGGAGCTGTAGGCAAAACGCCCCGACCCTAAGCCAAGAACAGAAGCCTAAACCGCCTATAGACCCTAAGCCTTGAACCTAGTTGCATAAAGGCTTCCTCCACATTTGGTCCCCCAATGGCACCCGGAACCCGAAGACCTTCGTGTAGTCGCCACTTTGTGGGTTAGAGACTTCTTTAGGATCTTGCTGACGTACATTTCACAAAAGAAAGGTAGGCAACAAATGAGCTTTAATGGAGACTGAATGAACAGAAAGCCAAAACAGGGGAGCCTTGATCAGTACCCTAAATAGTAGGATCCTTATAGAGAGGACCCTAAATAAGGTACCCCTATTTTCGAACATTCCCATATCAAACGCAAATCTGCCGGCAAAAGAAGGGCACCAAAAGTCCGAACACACTCTACTCTTCCCTACCCTACCCTACCCTACCACTGAGGTGGCAACCCCACTTCCATAAAGGAGAGTGGCGTAGGCACAGCGGCCTCTGCACCGGAAACAGTCTGAGGAACCCAGACCCTCCAAAATCCCTTAATTAAGGAATGTACCTTAGGACTTCAGGTATATTCCTTGATTAAGGGATTTGGAAGGTCCGGGGAGTCAAGGTGTCGTGCTTCAGGCTGCAAGGTGCAAAGCTCAAGGCGGTTTAGCAGGCTCCTTGCTAATGTAGGAACCTGATTAGGAAACCCTGGGCAAATAACCCGTAAATAATAGGATCCATATAAGGAGCCCTAAAACAGGCCCAAGGTTTCTTAATAGTAGCTGTCGTGGTGGTATTGGCAATACCCAGAGAGCCCTCCCGAATACTCCTTGATCAAAGAATATGCTGTCAAACTTAAACCTGTAGACTAAGGCCCCTACACTTAAAGCTACATCCCCTAATTAAGGACTATTGGGCTCGCTGGGAAGGTACTTATCAAGCGAGTCTTATTCCAGAACCCCATAGCACCCTTCAAGCGAGCCCTTTTATAGAACCCACAGTACCCATAGAGCGAGCCCTATTAGAGCCCTTGTAGGAGCCCGAAACCTCCCTGAAACCCTACAGCGACGCTGAAGAGTCCACACACACACACACACACACACACACCATAGTACCCGAAAAAGGAACCTTAAATCTAAAACCTAAACCCTTAAACCCTAATTAAGCTCCATAGTACCCGAAAAGGAACTCTAAACCTACATAATACCTAAATCCCAAAATCCCAAAACCCTCATCGGAACTCACCCCTCTTAGGCGCCTGGACCATGGCCGTTCGTCTTCGCCGGCTCGGTGGATCCCCCTGCGACCTGCTGCCGGGGGTTTCGGGTCGTCTAAGGGGGGTACCGCTGGGCTTTGGAGGGCTTTGGCTCTGTTTTTTGCTTTTTGGGGTTTCGGTGTCGGGCTTCGGGTTTCAGACCTTTGGGGGTGGAGGGTGATTTGGAGAGGGGAGGCAGGCGGGGGGGTGCAGATCCGGGATGACAGTGGAAGCGAAGCCATTGGGATTATTGGCAGAAAACCTGGGGAACATGTGGTACAGGGCTTGAAGCTTCTGAAGCCACGCAACATGTCAGGACGGCTTGGTCAAAGCGACCCGCCTTGAAGCCCATGAACAACACTGCACTACACCCCAACTCCGAAAGCTTAAAGCTCTGAGCCGTAAACCCTAATTAAAGCCCTACAGTTCCGCAAAACCTTATTTATAGACCCTGAACCACTTAAAACCTGAAGCACACGCTCTTGAAGAGACATAGGATGGACTTAAGGGTTATATGCGGCTTTAGACCTCCACGGTTTAGAGTTTAGTACAAAGGCGGTACCTTGAAAGCAAGACTGAACAAAGAAATCGATGTCACAGTGTTACAAGAGTCGAAGAGGGATTTCAGGTACCAATAATCTAGAAAGTGGGTTCTGAAAAGAACTGCCCTAGTGCCCTAGCGTTGTCGATCAACCGCCTCTCTTTGCAGGTGTACTTGTTTGTAGTATCGGTTAGCGAAGAGAGGTTCGGATCCATTACCCGCCTAACCGACACCATGGTTCTACCCAGCACCACTGCCTCTCCACAAGCCAGAAAACCCTCAAAGTCAACTATGCACGCAGACATGAACACGCTCGGTGCTGGGACAAGGGCCTTCCAAGCAGACACCTGGCAGCGAGATGGCCACGACACCATCAACAAGCTTTGCGCAGCAAGAAGCAACGGACTCGTGGTGACGGTTCTGAGAACGATAGCGACGATATGGCCGATGTGGGCAACGACTGCGATGACTTGACGACAATGACTGACTGCTGGTGGTGGTCGTCGTGCTCGTAGTAGTAATGGTAGTAGTAGTAGTAGTAGTAGTAGTAGTAGTAGTAGTAGTAGTAGTAGTAGGAGTAGGAGTAGGAGGAGGAGGAGGAGGAGGAGCAGGAGGAGGAGGAGGAGGAGGAGGAGGAGGAGGAGGAGGAGGAGGAGGAGCAGGAGGAGGAGGAGGAGGAGGAGGAGGAGGAGGATGAGGAGTAGTACTAGTAGAAGTACTTGTATAGAAGAGTAGTTCGGCGGCACATGTAGCTTGACAAAGATAGCATGGTCAAAGCATTGTTTTCGTTGACTGGATTTCGAAGGTTGCCGGCATACTATGGGGGCCTTAACAATTAGAATAAGGTTTTCATACTATAACTAAGATAAGGAATCCCCACACTAGTATTGCTTATTTAGGTCCCTATTGTACGTGTCACTTGAAATCCCGAGCGAGCCCCTGAGACACAACTGGATTTTAATGCTGGTGCCGCGAAGTCACGACCTGAGGAGAACATCTGATCTGTCAGAATCAATGACTGGAACTCAACTAGGTTCCTGAGTAGCCCCTTCATAATAAGGGTACCCTTTCTCCTACTATTGGGTTTTAATAGGAGACCCCAACATGCAAAGGGCAAAAGGGTACTCCTCAGGAACCTAGTCAACCCCTGAACCGTAATCCCAGAAGCCACAACCAGCTTTGCCTGCAGCTTCAGTGGCAGCCGGCAATGCCTCGTCTAGTTGGTCGGTGCAGATGCAGACGACGTCAGGTGCACAATGGGTGAGGGTTTTAGGCTCAACGAAACAAGCTTTGGGGGCTTGGAAAGTTTAGGGTTTAGGGTTTGGGGCTTACATTACAGCTGCTTTGCGAGTAGGGATAAGTCAAGTCAGGACTGGGTCAGGGCGGTTAGGGTTTCGGGTTTAGGGTTGCTAGCATGCCCAGTATTGGGTAACTTTATAAGGAACCTAGGACTCCAAAAAGGGAATACGGCACTGAGCATCCTAGGTCCTAGCTTAGGATACTTGGGGAGAGGGCTGGGTGAGGCACAGCAACAGCAGCCCTCCGATCGCTTCCCCCGAGTTTCCAGAGGTGCCAAAATCAAATTCAGGGAGCGTCCCTACTGGGGCCACTGGGGGCGGGACCCGAGCAAAGTGTCATGTTCGACTGACGTTGCTTTTGTGGGATTTTGGGATGAGAAACGTCGCAAGAGCCTTTTGAACTCTGAACTGAGAGGCTTGAAATGGTTGCCATACTGGCATATCTATGGGCCCAACAGGTGCGGCATCATTATAACATCTCAAGCTCTGCGAAACACTCGGTGCCAGGCACGCAACTGGCGTTCACCTCACCAGTTCGTTTGCAGGTCTGAGACACTGGTTGTACAATCTCGGATGCCGCGTGGAACCCAAATCCAAAGCAACGAACACATAAAAGTTAAAGGTGTCAACCAAGAAAATGAGCCACTACTGAGAGTTTTGCCCAGGTTGCTTTGCCTGAACCCTAAAGGCAAAAGGCAACTATACGAGGAAATCATAATAATGAACCCTTGGCTGGGGTTTCGCAGTCATGTGTCGTAAAGACTGTCAGTCAGCCTGCTAAGCGACAATTCCAAAAGCGTGTAACTACTAGTACCGTCTACGGCGTTTACGGTGTAGGGTTTGGGGCTAGAGTTTGGGCGGAGTACGGTACATAATTTGGGGCTTCAACATCTACAAAGCACCTACCACATTGTTACTCGGACCATTTGGGAATGTACAGGTAACTGGGGACGATAGAAGCTGACTCTTACAAAAGCCTGTAAACCTCCCAAGAAAAATACAGGGGATGTCATTTGCTTGGCCCAACCACCGGAAACCTTGACAGGAAAACAACAGCCGGCACTACAAGCCGAATCACAAACGCCCTCATCAGCCCTCACCCTCTCGACACTCGGATCCTAAACCCTAAAAAACCTAAACCCTAAACCCTAAGCCCCTAAACCCCAAAGCCCTAAACCCTAAATCCTAAACCCCTAAACCCAAAGACCAACTCGACATCCGGAAGCTCAAAAAAGCCCCCTAAAATCCGGCAGCCTCAGCAGTCTGAATCTGGCAGGGCGACATCCGTGCTACTTTTGGGGCCTTAATTGAAAGGGTTGAAATAGACCGGATTTCAACGATTTGAATTATGTAAAGAAAAAGGAACCCCAAATTATAGTTAGAATAGGGTTCCTTTAAAGGGTTCCTTTAAAAAGGTCATATATAAGGGATCCATAAGGGTACTATGGTACAGGGGCCTTGATAATTAGAATAGGGTTCCTTTAAAGGGTTCCTTTAAAAGGGTCCTGTAAGGGTTACTTGAAGGATACTGCGGTACAAGGGCCTTCATAATTAGAATAGGGCTTTGGGGCCTGTTGTACTATATTCATAATACGGAACCTCCCAAAATAGCACACACAGCTTGCACGCTCAGGCTCGGCAAGGCAGAACCGCGAGCGAGTGGGAACCTCCCAAAATAATATCTGTTGAACCCCTCTTACTCCCTCCCTATAGCTCCCTAAGAATCCCTGGTACCTTCCCCCTAAAAGATCCTAACATCAGGCCTCTCGCGGCAGAGACTCGCCGTCCTAGAACGCAGGGCATCGCAACTTCACAAGTCATATGGAACATCACTACATGTGCCAAAATGTTATGAGCTTTGGGTTTCTCTGATACGCTGGGCTCCTCTATCAAGTTCCTTCAAACGGAAATTCCGGGAAGACAATGGAAGAAATACAGGGCTTTTCTACGAAGTTCCTTTAAACCGAACTTCCGGTGGGTTCTATGACCCTAAGGCTCGAAGGACTGATATTATCGGGCCGATGGGCACAACCACCAACTTTTTGAGGTTTTTGGGCCAAGTTGAGCCTTACCTTCCCTAATTTGCGGCCCTATACTACTAAGCGTACTTTGTAGGAATCCCCATTCAGGGATCTACTTAAGGATCCAACGAGGGCTAATTTAAGTCACCATAGTAGGGATCTATGAGGGTTCCTTTAAGGCATCTATAAGGGTTCCTTGAATTAGGCTTACCTTAAGGATGCAAAGAGGGTTTTTGGGCTTTCTGGGGAGGTTTCTGAGCGAGGCCGAGGCCGTTCCCTCGAGACTGTGGCTACCACTGGACAACTGCATATAATATGATACCCCAAAGGGTCTCAGTATCATTATGGTATATACCTAGACTACCAAAATACACTATAAGTTTAGGGTTTTAAGGTTTTAGGGTTTAGGGTTTCAGGGTTCAGGGCTTAGGGTTTGCTTTGGGGGCCGGGATCCCACTACAAGAGCTCAGGAGCCTGGTAGGGATAACTTTACTGGCCTTCGGTGCATTTTACCTCTGAAGGACCCCTCAAAAGATCAGGTACTGGTTTTGAGGACTCCCATTGGGCCTGTCATATTGTAACATACTTTAATATTCTGTAGCTTAATCATCAATAGTACAACACAAATCGAATACAGTATACATAGTAGAATGTAGTTTATATAGTATAGCGTATTATATCATAATAACATATAGAACTGTAAACAACATATAACTTTTTATGCTTCAACCCAATATACGTTAATCTCATCTAATCTAGCTCTCTGTGTTGTCATGGTGTGTGTGTGTGTATCTATATATAGGTTGGGAAGCAGGGGCGAATTCTCCAACTACCCAGCCCCGACTCATAAATCCGAAAGCCGTGCGCTGTTAGTGTTCAGGATTTCGGGTTTTAGGGTTTGGGGACTTAGGGCTTCAGGGTTTGGGATTTAGGATTTTGGGTGTTGAGAGACTTAGACCCTCAACCCGTAGCACGATGACCCTGAAGAGATCTTCAAGCCCTGAGCCGTGAAGCCCCGAACCTTGAACCATGGACTCAGTCACCCACACCATACAATGAAAGTCCTAGATACAACCAAAAACTTTTCAAATCCAACACTTAAGTTTAAAGCCAAAAGCACCCCCTTCAAAGACGGCTACTCGCAAAAACGCTTCACCTTTCAAAACGGCGAAATACGATTCTAAGCCTAAACCCTCAAGCCCACGTCGAGCCTGCGGAAGATCCGTCTGCATCGTTCGAGTGGGAAGACCACCCCTGAAGGCTTCCGGACTTTCCCCAAACTCAAAGGGTAAAAGGAGGGACCCCTAATAAGAACCCCTAGCTATATACCCATAAAATAGCCATTATATACCCATTATATAGCCCATTATAGGGTAGGGGTCCCCATTAAGGGTCCCTCCTTTTCCCCTTTGACAAACCGTCCCAAGGAGCTGTACAACCTCTCTCTTCCTAAACCCTACACCCGAAACATCCAAATCCTGAAAACCCAGGTGCACTCGTCATCCTTACCTTGTCTTGACCTCCGCAAACCAGTGGTTTAAGGACATATCCCCTAAAATTTCCACCAAAGGACCCAATAGCTAGGTACTCGGGTTTAGGATAGTGGTTATGTGGGTTTCGATTTTGGAGGGGATACGGTATTTAGGTACTTGGACCCTTAGGGATCTGGGCAACCATACCAAGGAACCTGAAGGGGCTCTTTGCGGCGGCTCCTGTGCTCATAATGGGGGGGGCATGACGGGGAGAGGGTTTAGGGTTTAGGCTTTAGGGTTTAGGGTTTAGGCTTTAGGGTTTAGGGTTTAGAGTTCAGGGGGTAGGGTATTGTGGGGGGCTCCTGACGTCGGAAAGTGCCGTGGAGAGGCCTGGCTCATGTAAAAGGGTATGCGGAGCATCCTGTAACCGAACTCCCTTTGATCAACAAGTTTCCATCAGTGCCCTACAACCAACGGCTCGGTGTGGAGTGGATCGTTACGAACAAAGCGCTACACCAAGGCAAACAAAGACTGGTTCGACTATCGAGACTCGAAACCTATACCCCCTTAGAACCATCATAAAAATGTTGTTTAATATTCTCTTGAGTTTTTATATGAACAAAAATATAGAAAACCATAAGGATACTATAGAAACGACAACCTCAACCATCTACTCCCATCCTTTGGTTGGTCGGAAAGTACTTTTCAATTTTTCTACTCAATGATACTGGACCCTTTTCGGCACCCTTGTAGAGACCGTTGTAGAAGCTCTTCTCATAGGGAACATTGTAGAAATCCCCTAGGAGCACCATAGTAGGAATCCTTACTTAAGAGACCATTGAATAGGGCCCCAAAAAACATACGCCCAATAAGGTGTGATATCCCGGTAAAATGCTTATGCCTATCTGCTTTTTGGGTCCATATTGAAGGCACCCTTTGGAAGGACTCTCATCTGAGGTCTGAGCGGATCCTTGATGGACATCTGCAGCACCTGCGAACCCTGAACCCTCAAACCCATGTGCTGCAGACTGAGGGTTTAAGGTGCTGGGTTGGGTTTAGGGTTTAGGGTCTTGGGGGATTTGGGTATAAAGACCCCAAACCGCATAAACCAAACCCTACAAGCATGCAACGATAAGATCTGCTCTTGAGCTCCAGGAGCACATTTCAACCCCAATGGGTCCGCAGATTATACGCCTTACTTACACCATGCAATGATTGGGGAAGTTCCGGGGTTAGGGCTTACACCCATTTGCAAGGTTTCAACATGGTCTACTGATGTCTACTGTATACTTTACAAGGCAGGGTCCATGCGGTCTTCGGCTTATAAGATTTACACTCCTGACACCAACATCCACATGTTTCAGAAGTGTCAGCTGAAAGTTCCGCAAACGGATTATTTCTGGATGTGCGGCTCCCACCATCGCACGGCGCGGTTACCTTGTCGTCACCACCCCTGGAACAGAAGGGAATGTGTTGTTGGTGATAAGTTTCGTAGACGAAATACCAGGCGCAAATCCGAATCGCGACAACAACGACTACAGAAATGCAACTTATCAAAGCCATCACCTCTCCCCGAAAGGCTGCCCCAAACCTGAACCGTAGGCCCTAGATCTCACCACACTTTAATGCCCTGACAGAGAATGGCTCACAACTCCTCAACGCCGTGTGTGAAGCTTGCGGCGGTCCCAAAGCCCGAGGCTACAGCCGACACCATCCACTGGGTTCTTGCTCTGGAATTTAATTTAAGTTACAACAATACCGGTTCTAGTGTAAACAACATGGTTTCGTTATTGTGGTATCTTGCATTGAGTCCCTTGACAAGAACCCAGTCCACCTGGCATAGTGGGCTGAAGCATCAGCGTAGAGCGCTGGACCATATGTAGTTATACAGGTGATAGTTAATACTTTTGATTGTGCCGAGCCCTTTATTACAAATTGCGCCGTAAACAAGGCCCTATTCAAACTACAAGGCCTAAAACCTCTCATGACAGAGCCGCAGGAAACACTGAACCCTAAACCCCTAAACCCCTAAACCCCTCACGGACCTGGGAGGTGGTTGGTATCTCCAAAGCCGGGAGCAGCTCCGCGAGAAGCTCCTGGGCTCAAGCCCAGGTTCGGTAGCCAAGCCTTCACTAGGGTTTAGGGGTTTAGGGGTTTGGGGTTTGGGGTTTAGGGGTTTAGGGGTTTAGGGGTTTGGGGTTTAGGGGTTTAGGGGTTTAGGGTTTAGGGTTTAGGGTTTAGGAGTGTCCATGTACTTGTGCAAGGGTTGCCTTACCGGTTCTACTACAAGCGTACCTATAAGGGGTTCCTTTCAGGGTTCTATAGCTTCCATGCGGGTTGCCTGAAGTGGCTTCATAAGTTTACGACGGGCTCGTGAACCTGAAAGGGGGTCCGATACAGAAACTGCAATGCCAATCAATATACATATATATATATTGTCTATCTATCTTCACATACTGTGTGGGTAAATGAACCTTCGAGTCATTCTGCTGATGGTTGCGGGGGGGAGCCCTGCCAAACAAGCAATCTTTGGCCCGAGGTAAGGCTCTATCCTAGAAGGGCCAAATATGGAGAAGCGCTCAGCCCTTAATCTACGGTTTAGCACTTGATTAGGTCTTACAGTAGGGTAACGTGTGCGCTCCTTCTAGAGACTTCGGTAACTCTGGATATGGGAGTTTCCGAAAATAGGGGACCCTAGTATAGCACCCTAAATAGTAGGATCTTTGCTGTAAGGACCCCAAAGTAAGCTACCCAGAATTTTCAGAAACTCCCATATGGCTTCCTTGCTGAAGATACAACATTGCTGCTCTAGGCAGGGCTTTGTGATTCAAGGGAATCCGCCAGATCGCTCATCGTGAAATTCCACAAGTACTTGGAGGTTCCTGGGTAGTTATAAGTGGAGTTATAAGTCCCCTCATATGGGTTTCAATTATAGTTACCCTACTTATAACTCCACTTAGAACTACCCAGGAACCTCCAAGTAAAGGTTTCGGACCCGTAAGTAAGATCTTAACCAAAGCGGGTCGAGCGTCGTCGCTGGCTGCGGCGAGGGAGCCGTCCTTCTCGTGTGCCCTGCGGGACAGAAAAATCTCGGCACCGGGGTCAATATAGAAACATATCGGGGTTTTCATCCTGTAGTTATACTGACGAACTCCACGGAATAATGAAGGTACCAGGCCTTGAGTATCTTACGTAAAAATACACTAATGGACACCGAAACCCATTCCTGGATGTCTGTACTACCTAAACCCGACACCCTCAACCCCTTAAGCCCAAGTCCAATACCTTGCAGCCCAAACCCTACACCAAAGCGTGTTATGTAGCTGGGTGGGAGATACATACACAAAGCTGATAGACACCCTACTATCAGTGCTTTGGCTAACTGCCGAACATCTTGATACTAAGCCTCAGACAGCAAGCCCAACCCCAAACCCTAAACCATCAACCAAAGCACCCGGACAACCCTTACACTTCCTTCAGAGCTTAGGGCATCCAAGCTGTTGGTTAGGGGCGTTAAATGCGGCTTACAGGGTGATCAACAGCGTTTAGGGTTGTTAAAGGTTTTAGGGTGTTTCGGGGTGTTAACTTCGTTGAAATGTTTTAAGAACTTAGGATTTGAAGTTCGCACAACTTGAAGCAAACAGCACCACCAATGGAAACCTGCGTTATAAGGTTATCGCCTGATGATGAAAGTAACTGCAAAGTGAAAACAAATTGGTCAACATACTGACATGCCATCAAGCTTGCTTCTTAATGTGGCACTAAACTTCCCAAATTTGCTGGTGCGTGAATGGCGTGGGTGCCTTTTGTATGTATATTCAGGTGATGACTGCTGTCATGTGCTGTTCCTGGTCCTCGCAGTACTCCTGTTGTAAACTTTGCAAAGCCTCAAGCCTAAACGTGATTTCGTTCAGTGAAAGGTTGCGCTTGGGCGCTTGGGCGCTTTGTCGACACCCCCAATCCAAGCCTTACAGCTGTCCCATGCCCCCCCACCCCCGCACAACCGGAAAGCAAATGCAACAGTGAATACAACCATGAATACACATTTAGCCAGTCCTTAACCCGAAAACCATGCCGAAACCATGAGGCAGCACTGCAGCACGCCTGGCAAGCACGCCCTGAAGGACGTCGACCTTGAGTTCCCGGTTTGAACTACGCAAAAGGAAAAAACCGAGGGCTAAGCATGGGGTTGAGACCGAAAGCCTATAAGCCCTACACTCGAAGGCCTGACCCTACAAAGCCCGAAAGCCTGCATGAGCCTTGAGGTAACTGCATCTCAAAGATTACGAATGCTATCATCAGAAGCCACCGTCCAAAAAAAAAACATAATCAGGTCCGAAAAGTTCTCCAAAGAGACATATTATTGGAGTTCAGAAATTTGGGGGCGGACCCTCGTATAGAACCCTGAATCAAAGCATCCATGTTATATGGACCCCTAACCAGGCACCTGAGTTTTCTACAAGCCCTAACCAATTGTCTACCAATGTTTTGTAAGGTGCTGTGCTAGATAGTTTATGTTGCATGCTGTCACGGAGATTAAGGAATCAGTGAAGAATCGGTCATTAGCCGTGCAAGCAAGACCTTCGGGATGTGGACTTGCAGTTCCCTACGACTCCAAGTACATGGACGGTACCTACTGTGAAGTCTAAAGTCTCGAGATGATGCCTACCTTGGGCTACTTGGGGTCTTACCTATAGTCACCATTGTGGTTCCTTTTTTGGTTAACCAGTTTTATGGTTAGGGTCCTATAATAGAGAGGTTGGTTAACTAAAAAAGGAACTACAATGGAGACTATAGGTAGGGATTGTTGCTCCAGCAATCTTATAGCCAAGGTCCGGCAATTAGTCGCCAACTGTACAAATGGGGGTGTGCTTAGGGGTTTAGGCTCCCTGTAGACATACAAGGTATCTGAGCCTCCCGGCAGGGCCAAGAAAAACCCTCAAACAACTCAATAATACAGGGCTTTAACGATTCCTATACCGGTGTACACAGGAATCGTAAACGGGTTCCTGTAAGGTTTCCTTCAGGGGTTCTCTGAAAGGTTCCTTTCAGGATGTTTGAGGAGGCTTACCCGACCGATCCATTAAGTGTAAGACGAAAGCACTGTCGGGGTCTATGCACCTGTACAGCTTTGGCCTTGAATCGGCTCCCATGTATTAGTTAGGTGCTGTGGGGACAATGTGTATGCAGAACGAATACATGGACCCTTAGGGACATACGACTTGCACAGCAGAGGCCGTCGCGGTGAGGTGCTTGGACAGCAGCTCACGCAGACGCTGTTGCACCTGGGAAGAAACACGAACACTTGCTGGCATCAGAATACAGCGAAGCAGACAATAATGATTTGCAGTTGTTGGTTTAGAGGTGGTGGTGCTGCTGATGACGCTGCTGCTGCAGCTGCGAATCTTCCAGATGTTTCAAGACTTTAGTCTTGCCTCTACCGCTACGAGAAGGCCAGTTTTCCGACGACCGTGCTACGATTACGCATATCGAGCTCGGACCAGGCACAGGAGATTTCACCTGACGTTCCTTCTACAGTGCTTGGTTGGTTGACTTGTCTGTTAACGTGGCCACCCATAACTGGAGATTGTCGAAATTATAGTCCCTTTTGGGGGTCCCTCATATAATACGGCACCTCATATTTAGGGTACCCAAAAAGCGACCCTAATTTTGACAACTACCCACGAAGTCTGAAGACGAAGCAAACACCCCAGGCAATGGGATCGATCGAACTTGTATCTTTGGATGTGGGAGATTCCGAAAATTCGTGGTACCTTATTTTAGGGCCCTTACAATAAGGTTCCTACTATTCAGGGTACTATATTGGGGTCCCCTATTTTCGGAAACTCCCATGTATCTGGAAACGAAACTAGACATCGTTTACATGGCCAGGCCATGGACATGCTCGGAGCATACCACAGTATCCGCTACAACGGCGTACTCTCCTTCGAGAAGTGTGCAATGAGGTGTCCTGCGTGACCCCCCTGCATCATCAACACACCGAGATCCTGGACTGAATAGGTGAGCCCCACGCACACAGGTTACATCAAAATCGACAGCAATTGAAGCAAATCTCCTACACCCCCCACAAAACATCGGAATCTCGACTCCCAACATCTCTACTACTGAAATCCCGCATATGAGCTCGTGCACGTGTATGTACCCCCGAAACCCAAAACTCGCCGCAAACCCGAAACCTGCTGCCCTAAGTTTTTTTGAGCCCTGACCCCTGAACCCTAGGCCCTAAACTGCAGTCTAAACCTTGTAAGACCCTAAGCCCTGTTAAGCCCAACAAACACTATAAACCCTATAAGCTCGAAGCCTCAAGCACTAAACCCTAAAACTCTTAAACCCACAGCCCTGAACCCTAAACCCCAAATCCTAATTATCAGCCCTGGGTTCGCTAAACCCTTAACCCGCCCACAGACTCGCACGCTCCTTGCGAACACTCCGGGGCCGCAGGCCATCTGCCCCGCGATGCTGCTGTCCTCCGTCGGTGCCGGCGGTGTGGCTGCCTGGTCGTACCCTAACCCTTAAGGGCTCTAACGGCTCATATTTTGAGGCTTTCGGCCCCAAAGACCATTCTATGTGTTGATGCACAGCTTTCCTCCAGACAGTCTACGACCGCAGGCACTCTTATGGCCGAAGGGTGAAAAGGTGCCCAGGCGGGCACATGTCAGGCTACCAACATTGGTAGCGGAGCGCAAAGCGCTCCAGGAGTTGATTTTCAGGTGAAAATCATTTTCCGGCCTCCCTCTTGAGCCATGGCTGAGGGAGGGCACTCCCTCCGCTATTTCAGCGGAGAAGATGCGGACCACAGGGAATACAAGCGATGGAAACTGTGGGTCCAGAACAAGATGAGAGTCACAGACAAGCTGGCCAAGGAGGCCAGAGGATCCTTCGTGTGGACCCTGCTTCAGGGCAAGGCCCTGGAAGTCGTCGAGCACCTGGCCCCGACGGAGTACCAGAAGGAGGGCGGCGACAAGGTCCTCTTTGATCTGTTAGATCAGCGTTGGCCTGAGAAGGACAGGGCTGACGAACTCGGGGAGCACGTGTCGGAGGTCTTCCTCTTGAAGTCCAAGGAAGGCGAGAACATCCGGCAGTGGTGTGCCAGGGCTCGGGAGGTCTTCGATCGCTGCAACAGGAAGACCGGAGTCCAGTTCCCCGAAGAGGCACGGGGATGGATAGCTTTGAACTGCAGCGGGATGAGCGAAGAGCAGCGAGCTGTGGTTCTGGCGAGATGCCATGGAAGCCTGAAGTTTGATGATGTGTCTCAGGCTATGCGCTCTTGCTATCCGGAGTATGTGGTGCCCAAGCGAAGGTCACATGGGGCGCACTACGCCGAGTACGAGGACGACGCTACCTGGTGGGACGAGGCCTACGGCTCCGAGTCGGAGGACGTGGAGATGTTCCTGGCCGAGCACAACACGGCCATGGACCCCATCGACGAGGAGACCTACCAGGAGAACGAGGTGGCGGAAGTCCTTGCGGCGACGTGGAAGGAGAAGAGGCAGGAATTGGCCAAGCTCCAACGGGCCAGACGGTTCACACAGGCCAGCGACGTCCGCCGCAGTTTTCGCGTCGAGGTGGAGGAGCTGTCCGAGGATCCAGCCCTAGGCCTTCCATGCTGGAGCAGCTGAGGGAGCGGAAGCCCCCGGACACCAATGAGGTGCTTCTTGTGTCATCTCCGGGCTATGCCGTGCTGGATTCAGGGTGCGGACGGAGCATCGTTGGTGACAACACCTTGGAGCTGTTCCGGAAGATGTGGCGCGACGCAGGCGTCACACAGCCTCCGTTGCTTCCGGAGACCAACTCCTTCCGGTTCGGCAACGGGCACCAGGAAACCTCGCAGGTCGTGGTTGAGATGCCGGTGGTGATCGCCGGCCAGCCTGGAGTTGTCAGGGCGGCTGTGATCCGAGGGCAGGCCCCGTTGCTCATGTCCCGGGCGGCTTTGAAAAAGATCAAGGCCACCATGAACTTCGAGGGTGATGAGCTCACTCTCTTCGAGAGCCGCCAGCCGATCAAGATGGAAGTGAACGAGGCCGGCCAGTACATGATCCCCGTCGCCGACTTCAGCTCGATCACGGCCAAGGACGCCACAACGAGCACGCCCCAATGAAGGAAGAGTGCCTCAGCGCCGAATTAGCTGAGGATGCCTGGGAGCTGCAAGGTTCTAAGCTGATCCGTCATCATAGGAAGCCAAGGGACCGCAAGTTTCATCCTGAGGAAGTCTCCGATTGCCCGGTCCCTTTGCAACAGTTGACTTGCAGACGAGAGACTCGCAGTCCTAAGGGCAGTGTGGTAGATGAGTGGCAGGGAAACGATCCTAGGTCTAAGGTTGAGGGCACTCCCTGGGTGGGTCAAACCATCTTTGAGGTAGAGTCGCCACCTGCCTGCCCTGAGAGCGGCCTTGCAGTGTGTCAATGGACGAAGCGCCAATGGCGCCAGGTCCGATCCCAGGTCAAAGGGTCAGGTCAGGATAGCAAGCCGGTAAATAATGAGATTGGTCAGGGTCCTGCGATAGTTGAGCTTTATGGGTCTGCCAGCTTCGGGAAATTAGCAGCGACACGTGGCATCAAGTGCCTCTCTGCTGACTTGGCAACGGGCTGGGATTTTCGGGATGTGCGGCACCGCGATGCCATGAAACACATTGTGCAAGAGTCTCGGCCAGCTCTTCTGGCAATTGCAAATCCGTGCACGTCAGCAGGAGGATGGCAGTTCTTGAACAAACCGAAGCTGACACTAGACGAGATTAAGGAGAAAAGCCGGTTAGTGAAGCTGTTTGCAAGCTTTGCCGCAGACCTTGCGCAGATACAGTTGGCAGCCGGTGGCCGGATTGTTTTTGCAAGTCCGGTGGTCTCCTCTGTGTGGGACTTGTCAAAGGTCCAGGCGCTGCAAGGCGCTATGCATGAAATCTCCGTTGATATGTGCTGCTCCCTACCCGCTAGCATGGGAACGACCGTCCCACAGAGGCCCTTCAAGCTTCTTGTGTCTCACGAAAATATGCGCTCCTTGCGCCGGCAGTGTCCGGGAGATCACTCCCACCTGAGATCCAAGGGTTTAGGACCTCAGCCAGCGATTGAAGGGTTTCCCCTGGGCCTGGCAAGAGCTATCCTGCGAATGGTCCCTGCTCTCCGGGACACTGCTGTCTGTCTTGTACAAGCCGGCACGGATCAAGAGTGTTTGGCTGCAGCGCGGGTTCGTGAGTTGAATGAGCAGAAGCGCGGACAAATGCTTGAAAGTCTCAGGCGCCTACACAACAATCTGGGTCATCCGTCCCTGTCTAGCTTGCAACGGGTCTTGAAGCATGGCGGGGCCAATCAAGCGGCTATCGAGCTGGCAAGGGAGCTTGAATGCGATGTGTGCAGGGCTCAAGGTAGTCCTAGTTCGCCACCACCTGCACAGACGCACAGGGCTACACGGTTCAACCAGAGGATAGGGATCGATGTTAAGTACCTTCCTGGCTGGAAGCCGAATCAGAAGATTCCGTCACTTAACATAGTGGACTATGCAAGCTCTTTCCAGATCATGGTTCCTCTGCATGCCCGTGAGACGGCCGAGCTGATTCGCAAGGCCTTGCTTGAGCGTTGGGTGTCGTGGGCCGGGGTTCCACAGGAAATTGTCCTAGACCCGGCACAAACAAACTTGAGTGAAGCGTTGACCACGCCTCAAGAGCTGGCAGGGTCCACCATCTCCACCACAGCTGCCGAAGCTCACTGGCAGCTGGGAAAGGTAGAGGTCCACGGTGGGTGGTTTGGTAGGGTTCTTCAGAAGGTAATCTCAGATACCATGCCACATGATCAGAAGTCCTGGGAAGAGTGCGTGCATGCAGCACATAGCAAGAACGAGTTGATTCAGGTGTATGGCATGACTCCTGCTCAGTTCGTGTTTGGTCGTAATCCGCATCTCCCCACGAATCTCTTGGACGAACCCTTGGACATTGTCCCAGCAACGGCGTCCTTACACGAGGAAGCCATTCAGAGAAGCATCGCCGTACGTCAGGCAGCTCGGGCTGCAGTGATCCAGCTGCAAGACAGCAAAGCTTTGCGGCTTGCGTTGGCCGCTCGCCCCCGTCGTGTGGAGGCCTTCCGGCCCGGTGCATTTGTGGCCTACTGGAGAACTCAGAAGAGCCATGAAGGGGTAATAGAAAGAGGCGGTCGCTGGTACGGTCCTGCCGTAGTGTTAGGCTATGTGGGAAAGAATGTAGTGGTGGTTCATAAGAAGCAGATCTTCCGATGCGCTCCCGAGCAGGTGCGCTCGGCCACGTCAGAGGAGGCCAGCCTGGCCACTACTCCTCAACTAGAGCTTCTGGGAATCAAGAATCTGATTGAGTCAGGGGGGTTGCAGAGCCGTCAATATGTTGATTTGGTTCCTTTAGGACTTCCACCAGTGCCAGCACAGACCGTAGATGCAGACATGTCCGATGCCCAAGGGCCCGATCCTCTCCCTAGTGCCCCTAGTCCACCTCCTGTAGCAATGGAAGCCTTCCGTCAAGAACACACTGCTCAGGTGAACGCCGAGCCCTCTCTAGCAGAGGCGCCAGATCGGCCTCCCGAGGAGGCGTCCGGCGACTACGGTCCGGTTAGGCACAGGGTCTCGCATAAGAGTAGTCCTACCCAACTTGTTCGACCTAGGGCTATGCTGCAAGATGACTTCGCTGAGATGATGAGAGATGTAGTCCCTAGATTGGTAGCCTCTGCCGTGCAGCCGGGAGCTTCCAGCTCCAGCGATTCCACAAATGTGCCGGCCCCCTCGCAGGTAGATGACCCGCGAGGCCGCAAGCGTGAGGCTTCCACAGAGCCTCCTGAGCCGAGCTCCGGGAGCAAGCGACAAGCAGTAGAAGGGAGTGAGCCGGCACAAGAAGCCACCGACGCAGGCATGTTCGATGATGATGCTTTGTGTGTTCAGGAAGTGTTGGCTGTTGAGAAGCAGAGCCCGGAAATGCCAATAGAAACCTTGGTAGCCACCCACATCAACAAGAAAGCCGCTAAGGAAATTCCCGCCGTAGGAAATTCTCTCGACCTTCAGAACCAAGTTGACGAAGCTAAGCTCTTGGAATGGAACACTGTGTCGGGCCGACATGCAGCTCGATTAGTCCTTGGGGCTGAGGCCGAAGAGGTCCGAAGATACCACGCCAATAGGATCATGGGTTCTAGGTACGTAGTCACGTGGAAGCAGGAAGAAGACGGGCCTAAGCGTGTGAAGGCTCGTTGGTGTCTTCAGGGCCATTTGGACCCCGACCTGTCTAGTCAGGCGCTAGCCGGAGACCTCCAGTCCCCGACCCTAAGCCAATTGGGCCGAGCACTTGCCTTCCAGTTGATTGCATCATTCCGATGGCGCCTCATGTTGGGAGATATCAAGGGTGCGTTTCTCGCATCTGGTGAGCTGCCACAGCGCTACCGACCGCTGTACGCCCGGTTGCCACCGGGCGGCATTCCTGGTGTGCCAAGCGATGCCCTCATCGAGGTGGTAGGACAAGTCTATGGTTTGAATGATGCCCCGTCAGCTTGGTATAAGACCTTCGATCGAGCACTCCAGGAAGTAGGTTTCGAAAGATCTAGGCTCGATAAGTGCCTTTACTTCATGCGGGAAGGTTCTCAGCTCACGGGTGTTTTCGGAATCCATGTTGATGATAGCGTTACGGGTGGCACTGGAGCTAGATACGAGAAGGCCCTTGAAAAGCTTAGAGAACGGTTTGAGTTTAGGAAGTGGCGGATTTGCGATGGCGATTTCTGTGGGGCACGATACATTCAGGACCCCACCACTGGAGAAATCACAATGTCCCAGGCCCCGTTTGTTGACAAGATCCGCCCATTGCATATGAATCGCCGCCGCATGCAGCAGAAAGATGCTGAGCTGACTCCTGAGGAAATCAAGTGTTTGAGAGCCATAAATGGTAGCCTGAACTGGTTGTCCACCCAATCTCGACCAGACTTAGCAACTCAGGTGTCGTTTTCTCAGCAGTCGTTTCCTCGGCCTACTGTGGCCGATGCACTCTCCGCAAATCAAGCCATCAGAAGGGCACGACAGCACGCCAATCTGTCCATTGTTTTCAAGGCGATCCCAATCGAACGCTTGACCCTGATGTGTCATTCTGATGCGGCCTATGCAAATGGCAGGGGAGGTGCCACTCAGGCAGGGTATGTAGTTAGCTTTGCTGATAGTGAAATGCATAAGGGTGAGGCCGCCCCGTGGACTCCGGCCTTTTGGAAGAGCTATCGTCTGCCCCGCATTGTCAACTCGACTTTGAGTGCTGAAGCCCAGGCCATGACAATGGCCACGGGTATGTGTGAGTGGTCCCTCCTGTTGCTTAGCGAAGCCCTAGATGGTAGAACGTTCCTTCAATCAGCCTGGGAGACAGCCCGAAAGCGAGTATGCCTTATAGCCACCGATTGCAAGTCCTTGTTCGATCATGTGCAATCACAGTCAGCCCCCACCTTGGATGATCGTAGGACCGCTTTGGACATCATAATCCTTCGCGAGTCCCTAGCTAAGACCCAGGGGTGTTTCAGGTGGTTGCCCACTGACCGGATGATTGCCGATGCCCTCACCAAGGAAAGTCCGGAAGCTTTTGACCTGATAAGGGCCTGCATAAGAAACGGGAAATACCAGATCTCTCCTGAAGAGACAGTGCTCCAATGGCGCTCTGATGAGCGCGAGCGTCGCAAGCAGCGTGTGACGCCGGTGCCTCCACCCACGTGCTAAAGAAGAGCGCCGAGCGAGGGTTAGAATCGCCTTTGGGGTTTAGGTGGTTGCTAGGAAGATAGGGTTACTGTGCGTCATTCGTGAATAGCTTGAATGCCGCCGTCCAGGTGAGAAACCTCACCCAGTTTTTTTCAGTGTCCTGCAAGACTGTTTGTGTGTTTTGAGCCGACCTCCCAAGCTCTCTTGCGCAGAAAATCTGTTATCACGGTCCCCCGCTGATCATGGCGAACTCCAAGCAGCGTGTCAGCGCCGGTGCTGCAGGAGCCCCTCCGTCGGGCTCTGGCGACAGCTGGGCATGGATCCAACATGGCATTCCCGAACCGGAACGTCGACAGTGCCAACGCACTTTGGTACGTTCCTTCTTGGCTGGGGAAGGTGCTGAGATCTGGGCGGATGCGATCCGCGAGTTTCGCACTACCCGTGCCGATCTCAAGCAAGCGGGCTCATGGGATCAAGTGAGCCACTTCTACTGCCTCCGCTGGGGCATCGACCCCACCGGTGCGAACACCGATGGCACCAAGCGTGATCGCGATCTTGGCGACCAGATGGATCGCCACGATGTCGAGGCCACCATGGAGGAAGAGTATCTGTTGGTGAACCAGGCCGACACTCCACGCCGTGATCCTGCCGTGCCCAATCCGATGACCGAGGCCCACGATCATGAAGCTCCACGTGGACCTCCACGCCCAATGCCGGTGAACCAGCCGCGCATCGGGAACAGCTATGCCATTCCGCCCTCTCCGAACATGAGCGAGATGTCATCATGGAGCTCCACCCGCCTTTCATCCCCGAGCGTCAATGCCACCACTCCTACGGAGAAGGATGTCAATGGCGTCCCGTGCTACCCGGAGGGAGTTTCCACTCTGGAGACCTGGGGCCAGACCTTGATCGAGTTCGGAAAGCTCAAGGGCAAGGGTTGGAGCTACCACCAGCTGAGCCAGGATGGATCCAAAGATTCGGAAGGCTACCGGAAGTGGCTGATGTCCCACTCCCAATCTTCTCAAGGGCAATGCCGTGATCTGGGACGTTACTTGGTGCGCATGCTCCACCACAACCGGTTGCCGACTAGCACCTGCAACATTCCGGGAACGTCTTCCGTTCGGAGCTTCGTCTCCCCAGGGAGTCCGTGATTGAGTCTGAGAGCCTGGGTAGCCGACGTCGAGCTCGGTTACCAGATGCTGTGCGTCGACCTCTGAGTGAGATCCCTTGTTTTGCTGTAAATCTTCTATTTTCCGTTGAGCTCATAACCTGGTCGTCCGGTTGCTGTACGCGATCGAGAGACCTGCCTCTGTCCAGTTTTCTTATTTTAGGATTTTGTAGGAGTGTTGATGCACAGCTTTCCTCCAGACAGTCTACGACCGCAGGCACTCTTATGGCCGAAGGGTGAAAAGGTGCCCAGGCGGGCACATGTCAGGCTACCAACATATGTAAAGCTTCTGGGCTATTCTGAGCCTCAGGGCCAGGCTCGCTGTGCCCACATGGTATATGGGTAGTTCTCTAAATTTGGGCCTCTTCTCGGCTCCTTTTAGTATAAGGGTGCCGCTCCTTGACAAAAAAGGTCCCCCCAAATCCAGAGAATTTCCCATGTACTTCAGACTTCGGCCGTAAATTAAAGGGTTCCTACACAGATTAGGGGGTAGAAGACCTGGGATTCCGATACGGATGCTGGGTGAGTGGGGGCTGAGGGCTTGAGTGGGGGACGAGGGCTTTATGCTGAGACTCCGGTACATAAGTGTTACCTATTATTTGGGAGTTTCCGAAAATTAGGGGTACCTTTTTGGGGGTCCTTATAATTGGGATCCTCACCTTTGTGTCCGACTATCTTATAATAGGGGTCCTACTATTTAGGGTACTCTATTTCTCCTATTTTCGGAAACTCCCATTTTGTGCTACTTTGAGTCCTAGGGTTAGCTTTCGAAGGCTTTAGCACTCAATGCGAGGTCAGCCTCTGTTGTGGTTCTCTGCAGTGTGTGAACGGTTGATGATATAAATCCTGCAGTACCTTAATGACCCCAGACTATGGGAATTACGGTATATTCCTTACTATGGGTCATGCAGGATTTTTATCATCAAACGGAAGCTCATGCCGTTCCCGGTTGATGATGTTCTCGTCCACATGTTGAACTTGTCCCGAGTTGCTCAATTGGCTGTATGGTACTGGGCTATGGGCACTGTAAGCTGTACAGTAGAAGATAGCGGCAGGACTTGTTAAGTGAGTTGAGGTGGTTGAAATCCTTCGGCAGGCAGTCTGAACGACGGCATCTTATAAACGATTTTCAGTGCCGGGTGACGACCGCAGGCATTTCGAGAAGAACACTGTGGCCAGTCGAATCTCGTGCCACGGAACATTGGGCGCGAACAGAAACACCAGAAGTCAGGGGTACAGTCTTCAATAGGTACATGAGTGGTTGTCAAAATTATTGTCCCCTTTTGTGTCACTAATATAGTACGGCACCTAATATTTAGGGTTCCCAAAAAGGGACTCTGATTTTCACAACCACCTACATGGAGACCATGCAGGATGAGAAGAATCCTCCTACTTGTCATTGGTATGCGATACGAGCTATACACAAAACCTCATCAAACCTATAAGCTCTAAAACTAAAGCCAAAGAAACCTAGAAGGTTCATCACAAGGTTTCGAATCTATAAGGGGATTTGTATGAGAAGGTTCTATAAGGATTTCTTATAACCCTCAACCCTTTGAGCCCTCTTATCTGGCCCCGATCTCGCCTTGCAAGGCAAGGCCGGCGCGACCGGCTTCCAAGTCGTGCTGCCAAGCCGACTCCTTGGGGCTCTTACCCTAAGGCTCAAAATAGCCCAAAAGCCTTATATAGTATGGTCTTTGGGCCCAAAGGCCTTAAAATATGAGTCCTTAGAGCCTAAGGGTTAGCTTTAGATAGAGGTTTTTAGGGTTTGGGGTACTTTAGGGTTTAGGGTTTAGGGACTCCTTGAGGTTCTTAGCTTTTGAGTAAAGGTTTTTAGGGTTTGGGGGGTTGTCTTCATGCCCTTGAGCTTACAGTAGAAGCCAGAAAGTTGGAATATCATTATCGTAACCCCTTTAAGGCCTTTAAGGTAAATTATAGGGGATCCTACCAATCCATATTCCAACTTTCTGGAGTTCCCTGTAAAGTTTTGGCTTTATTGAAGATCTCTTTGTTCGTTTGGTCCGCCCCTCGCCCGGCGATGAACAAGGGATGTACTATAAGAACGAATACCACAGTTTATTACAGTGCAGCTCGGAAGCCCTCGACCGAAACCCTTTACACCTTAACACTCACGCCTGAAACCAAAACCCTGCAACTCGAAACCCGACAGCCCAGAGCCTAAGCTCCCTCAACCATGCTTAAAGGGTCCATGTACCCCCCAAGTAGTATAGACTTTGGGTCTAATGTAACTGTATAGTGACGTAACTGTATAGGCACTACTATAAGGCCAAAGTATATAGTTACTATTGGGGTACATGGACCCTTAGGGATGAGTACCAAAACAATACTGGGTTTACGGCTAAGGAATTAAGGAACAGTAATTCTCTACGTAGGTAGCTGGGCTGGGCTCCATGGGTAACGCAAACTCCAAGAAGTTCTGCCGCTACCCCGCTATTTGCCAAGGCTCGCTTTACTAGCAGCCTCTGCAGCCCTCAGCGCAGATGCAACCTGACTTCAGGTCGGAGCATGCACATGCGGACACAAACATAAATGTTTGCGAAATATTTGGGGTTTAGGGTTTAGAGTGGTTGAGCATATACCCAAATTTGACCAAACTTGTGCGTCAATATATTAATGTTGCAAACCTGAAGCAGGATCCTAAACCCCTAACCCCAAATGCCAAGACCCTAAACGCTCCCCGGCATTGTGATCCGAACCCTATTCCCGGGTACCTATAATCAGGATTTAAGGAAGTATAGTCGCCTACCCCCCTCCCCCATCTAAAGGAGTAAACCCTAAACCCTAAAAGGGCTCCCTTTTTGGTATTGGGTAACTTTATAAGGAACCTAGGACTACAAAAAGGGAATAAGGGTACTACTGGGCATCCTAGAAATAGCACCGAGATCCCAAAGTATTGTGATCCGAGGCCTATTGCTCTCTTCACCAACAACCGGGCCCCAAAAAGTTCAAACTTTCTAAGATAGAGCTAATATATAAGGCCGAAAAATTTAAAGTTCCCCTGTTCACTATCTAAGATTCCTGGGGACCTGTGCCGCATCGCTGTGTGCGGAACCGAGCCCGGCCCAACTCACCAGGAATCTCCCAGGATCCTCCTTGTACCCTCAAATGGGGGACCCTGAACCACAAGAATTCTAGAGGGTTTAGGGTTTGGGGTTTAGGGGTGAACCATAAGATTTCGGTTTTAGGGTTTGGGGTTTAGGGGTTATAGGGACCCTGAAGCCCTAAACTGTACGCGGATTCGGGCCCAGGATGGACCCCAAAGCCCAAAACGACTGGACTTTCCCTCAAGCCAACAACACTCTCAAACCTCAAAGCAAACGCCGAAGCGTATGTCTGAAGTGCAAAATCGCAACTTCCACGGCCCAGAACACCACACCTGCAGGCAACACCCGAAATTCCACGAAAACTGATGGAACTTTAAACACTTTGTGGGCTCCTTGACAGTATAATGATATCATGTATAAGGTTTATAGATATTACAATTACTATTAATAACAGCCTTGCTGTTGCCAGTATCCCCATTGTTAGGTGCACTCTGTGCTTGTGGGACTCTCCGGAGAGGCAGGCTCACCCTTGTCCGTTAGAAAAAATAGACAGATCCGAGCTCTATACCTATATTCCTTAGTAGGAATGATTTAAGAAGGTCTACTAGCCGGTCTGTTTATTCTTTTGGGGGAACCATGAAAAAGGACAAGGCTGGCGGCAGGCTTGGCCCCAGGCACAGGAAAGAAACGGCGAGGCAGCGCACCGGTTAGCTACGGCCTGTAGGTATGGTTAGGGTTCAGGGTTTAGGGCAGGGTTTGGAGTTTAGGTTTTGTTTTGAGCTCCTTTTCGGCCTGTAGGTAGGGGATCGCAGGGTTTGGGGTTCAATTTGTTTTTGAGCTCCTTTCCTCCAGTGCCCCGAAGGGTCTAGGGTTTGGGGCTTAGGAGTTTAGGCTCTTGTGCTTTAGGGTCGAACTTGCATTCCTGATACATCATGGATTCTTGTGAATGACCATAACTGCCATAACTATATCACTTTACAACACGGTGATAAATAACAGTATGATACTACTGCACTACTGAAACTTAACTAGACAGTAGTAGAGAGGTGATGTGAAATTTACGCCTTTTACCCGCTTGCTGAGCTCCGGGAGCCTGTCTGCAAGCGCAGTGTAGAACTTCAAGGCATAATGGCATAATGCGGGCGCTTTAATATTTAGAATAGGGGCTACTAGAAGGATTACTATAAGGATCTATGTTCGTATAATCAAGGGCAAGGACCCCCGGACACGGAGTCCCGAATGATTTCGGGCTGCAAGTGAGTTGCAGGCTAAAGCATCGACCCAGGGCCGCCTCATGTCTTGCAAGGGATGACCCAGATACTGAACTTGTGCACAAGCACGATTGGTCGTGCGGGTTCCCGCTGTGCTTCGGGCGGGAGAGGTGTTAGGATGTAGGGTCCAGCGTGAATTCAATTCAGTCCTGACTTTGACTGAAAGATCGGGCCTCTGCTATCGTTCAGGGTTTAGGTTTTAGCGTGTCTGACTCACACAGATATGGCAAGGGTCCAAGTACATAATCATCATACATAACCCTCCCAAGTCTATACTCACCGCCTGGACCCGCGCTGGCTGCAATCCTAGAATATCCCTATGCGTCCAAGGACCTTATAGTTAGGGCCCTATAGACCCCTTCAAGACCCAATAATAACGTCCATCTAAGCATAGACATTATGACTTCTAAACCTCCGGAACCAAGAATACCTAAGGTTCCGTACTATGATTGCCCGAAGCCTCCTAGAAGAGCACTAGTTTCTATGAGCGGCCAGCCTGAGTCTAACTCCAACCCCTCAATCCAGCACCCCCCAACCCAAAATCCTTAGAATTTTGTAAACATGTCACGACAATCACGAGCAATGTGATGATACAGCCTTAATAAGCTCCCTTATGAAGCCTGCGAAGGTGGCATCAACGCATACGGGATGAAGGATCCTTATCGTTTAGGGTCCATATAAGGTCTTTGAGATGCGGGCCTTATTTGGGATTTCCTCCCACCTTTCCCAAACCCAGACCCAAAATCCTAAACCCACCTAGTTCGAGCCCTTTGCAAAGAACAGCCTCACCGGCGGCAAAGAGGCCCCGGATCGTCGAACCCTCGCTGTTCAACACTGCGCCGGAATCTCCTGGAATCTGATACTGCAGGGAGGGGGTGTGGGGGTGTGGCGCGGGGGGGTAATATGCAATAGTAACAGCGTGTTTCGGTATACTGATGCTTTAGCATTCATACCAATATCAAAAAAACCCGAAAGAAGAGTGTCACAGTCCCTCAGAAGCCCGTCGATTCTTCTAAGTCTGGTGAGGTTTGGAGTTTGGGGTTTTAGAATGAACTTGCTTTAACTAGGGCTTACAAGGTTGCAATGACAGTTTACAGTAAGATCCCAAGGGTTGAAAAGTTGACGAGGTCTTTAGGGTTCGCTTGTGGGTCGGCTCTAGTTTAGGGTCTGAGGTTCTGGTTTGGGGTTTAGGGTTTAGAGTTGAGGGTTTAGGGTTTAGGGTTTACGGTTTAGGGTTCAGGGGTTTAGGGTTTAGGGTTTAGGGGACCCTAAATCCTGAATCCTAAACCCTCTGAAGTTCCAAGATGGGCCTTGCAGGCTTCAGGGCAGCTTACGGTTTTCGGGTCGAGGCCTAGGTGCGTGATGCGCGTGATACCCACGGCTTGAGCAAGCTGAGCTGATTGGATCTAAGGCACTCGAAACAAAGAACTAACATGCAGGACCCAGAAACCTGAGTCCCATTCTAGACCACCCAAATTCAAACCCTACCTATAGTCTCCATTGTAGCTCCTTTTTTTTGGTGAACCAAAATCTCTATTACAGGATCCTAACCATGAAACTGGTTAACCAAAAAAAGGAGCTACAATGGAGACTATAGGTAAACCCTGAGCCCATTAAGGGACCTCAAGAGAATCAGGAGTTCTGTCTTCAGGAAAGATGATACGGTCGATGATCGAAATCCTGCATGAGCCATAATGAGGAATATACCATAAGTCCCCAAAGTCTAGGGTTAGTAGTTTAATGCAGGATTTACATCATTAACCGTATTCTATCGCCGCGTCTGAAAGGCCCAAGTTCCACTCCAAGCCCGTGACGTTTAGCCTTGATCTTCCGGAAAGGCAAGAAGATCCTCTGAACGAAAAGTTGTGCGGCAAAAACAGAAATGAGCCTGACTTATCAGACTAGGGTTGTAGGGCATGAAGTATACGTTGTAAATTGGTACCCTGCAAGATAGTATCCTGCAATATTCCGGCTCTACATCATACTACCCATAGGCCCCAAAATAGTTCCTTTTCGGGATTACCTTATCGGATTCTATATGTATATCCTGAGGCTTTATGTACCTGTATAGTTTTTTACTTACAGAGGCCTTAAAGTACGATTGATGGTATAAATCCTGCATTGCCCAAAATAAGGAATATACCATAATTCCCACGGTAATGCACGATTTATATCAACCGTACCTCTACAGTGCAGCCTTGGGTTGACTGTTGCCTGCAGGGGTGCAAGAGACCTTCAGGAAAACAAGGCCGCCTTCCACCGCAAGGCCGCCGTCACAGCAGAGAAGCGCCGGCCTCGTCTAATGCAAGGCTTGGGGGTGTAGATCTCAAGGCTTAGGGTATAGGGGTGTAGGGGCTTAGCTTTCAGGGCTTAGGGTTTTAGGGTTTAGGTTTCACGGTTTAGGGTTTAGGGGTTTAGGGCTGTCGCCTCAAAGCGTTTCAGTGCGGCTTGTTGGTTCGAATATCCTAAAACCTGGTTCCGAAATCCTAATCCCCCGTTCCCAATTCAGAACAAGAGTTTTGGAAACCCAACATTGTCATTGTTACCAAACCTTAGGTCCTAGTTCTCAAATGCTAGGACTCAGTTCCCAGATAAGAAACGCGGCCTTGCGAATTGCTAGCTTTCGCCAAACCCTCTAATCTCTAAACTAAACACTGAAAACCAACCCCTATGCCAGTTCCAACCCTCAAGCCGTAAAGAGTTCTCAACCCCTGTTCCGAATCCCTCAAAACCCAGAGAGTTCAAACCCAACACAGACCTAAACCCCAGGCAAACCCTAAACCTTGAACCTTAAACCCTAACCCCAAACCCTAAACCCTGAACCCTAAACCCCCAAACCCTAAACCTTGAACCCCACCAAACCTTGAACCCCAAACCCTAAACACATCTCAACCCCCCAATCCCTTGGGTCTTCACTATAATCCCCCAAATCCTTATATTAATCCTTTAAGGGACTCTAATAATTAAACCTTATAATTACCCTTTAAAGGGACTCCCTTGGTGTCTTCACTGCAGGCACTGGGTGAGGCGCGTAACATCGGTCACCCAGCAGGGCCGATCCTGCGGCCGTAACGCGAAGCGTCCAAGTCTTCGTACTCTATAGGAGGCTTGACTAATTAGAGGACTCTTTAAAGGGTTATAAGGGGTTACTCTATTATAGTTATCCTTATAGTATACCATTGTTCCCTTCTAGTATTCCTTACAAGGGATACTACAAGGGTAAAATGATATAGGGGCCTTTAAGAACTAGAACAGGGTTTTGGGGCCCATTATACTATCACAAAAAGGAACCCCCAAAATAGTATAGGTAATTGTAAAGCCCCCCACATTAGCTGGCGATCACCCTAAATTAACCCTAAACCCCAAACCCCTAAACCCCAAACCCCTGAACCGTAAACCCCTAAACCCTAAACCCCTAAACCCCTAAACCCTAAACCCCAAACCCCTGAACCGTAAACCCCTAAACCCTAAACCCCTAAACCCCAAACCCCTGAACCGTAAACCCCTAAACCCCAAACCCCTAAACCCCAAACCCCTGAACCGTAAACCCCTAAACCCTAAACCCCTAAACCCCTAAACCAAGCGAGGGTTATCAGAACCCTATCCTAGAAGGGGCCGGTGGCTCTGGTTACCTGAGGTTACCTGAGGGGCCAAAAACGGACCTACGGTTGATGATATAAATCCTGCATTACCTTAATGACCCTAGACTATGGGAATTATGGTACTATGGGTAATGCAGAATTTATATCATCAGCCGTAACAAATTAGGTACTTGGGTGTACGAGAGTAGTTGTGTAGGCTACTATTTTGGAGAGTCTACGATTTTTACCCTAGGGCTCCAGCTACCTAAATGGCAGATTGCTGGGTTTTGTAACATATGGCTAGTAGCCTACTATTTAGGCAACTGGAGCCCTGGGAATAATACACTACCCCAAGAACTCACCCGCAAATATTGCCCAGTCTAAACCCGTACCTTAAGACTATAGCTTGAATCATATTAATCATCCCTCTAATCCACATTAATTTAGGGGCCTTAATAAGTAGAATCGGGCTTTGGGATATATTGTAGTATAGTTTTAAAAAAGGAACCTTAGGACTAATAATTGGCATTTGTGTAAGCTTCCACATTAAGGTGCCTTGGAGTCTCTGGGCCACTCATTCCCCCCCCACAAAGCCGTGGTCCAGCCGCGGAGTAGCGACTGAGGTGGACGAGGAGGACGGTGCATAGCCTGTTGGCCATGACGGTCATCCGGGCCAACAGTCTTATGCATGTATGTATGTGTACATGTATATACATATATACACACACACATACAGATAACGACAACAAGATTTATGTATAAATGAGTGTAGGCTGACTGGTAAGCGGAAAGATTTAAAGATAGATAGATCGACAGGTAGATAGTAGACAGATAGAGGAAGATAGATAGATCGATCGATAAAGAAAGCTGAAGATATAGAGGGATAAATGGTTAGAAAAGTAGAGATCGATAGAGACAGATAGCGATAGATAGAGATAAATTAAATAGAGGTAGGTAGGGATATACAGGTTGATAGATAGACATGTAACTGTACGTATATGAGATAATGGATCGATCGATGGAGCTATCGACTATGCCATGGATCGACACATCCACAGAGGCTATGCTCTGCGAGGCGAGACGCGACCGGACCGGTCCCGACGAGACTCGAATGGAATGGCTAGAGGCTAGATCCATAGATCGATGGATAGGACGATAGATGGATCCATCGACCCATGGATAGATGGACCAAGGGATAGATGTGTCGATCACTCGACGGATCGATGGACAGATAATGAAAGATAGGTTTATCGACAGCCAGGCATATAGATAGATAGACAGATAGATACACACGTAAACAGATAGACAGATCTGGGTGGTGGTCACAAAAGAGTCCCGTTTTGTTTTGGGTACCCTTAAATACTAGGTGCCGTACTTGTATTATACCCAGGACCCAAAAAAGGGACCCTAATTTGACAACCTCCCATCTGGCTCGACGTTCTAAGGATTTTGGCTTGGGCTTAGGGTTTAGGGTTTAGGGTTTAGGGTTTAGGGTTTAGGGGTTTCCAGACTTCCGGAGCTGACGTGAAGATTCGCGATTCCGGATGTAGAGTTCAGGATTTTGGGGGGTTTATGATCTGAGGAACTCTTGGGGCTTTTAGGGTTTAGGGTTAGGGTTTGGGGTTTAGGATCTTAGGAATTTTTTTTGGGGGGGGGTAGGATTTTAGGATTCGATCCTTGCGGGATTCATAGGGGTCGACCCGACTCCTGACCAATGCTGCGGTTCATCACACGACAAGCTTCTGCTGAGGCGACGCTGAATATCGAAGTCTGCGGTGTCAGATAGTTACGTGTGCCGCGAAAACCTGCAAATCCCAATCGTAGGCTTTCGATCCAAATTAGCAGTTGCTTCTATACTTTACTTCGAGTCATAGAGGCCTGATCAGCTAGCGAACTACGTAAGACTTACGTAGGCCGTAGAGATGAGGGGTGCGTGCAGGCAGCGAGAACAAGAATGGCCGCAAGTACACCGCGAAGAGAGTCAGACATGTAGCGTAATGTTTAGGATTGCGGGCCTCAGGTTTTATGGTTTTGTACGAAACCCTGAGCCCCCAAGCCGCAAACCCGACCCCCCTACTTAAGACTGGAAGCCAAAATCAAAGTTGAAACGAATCTTGTTAAGACCCATCCGCAGCCCCGGATCGCAAGACTTCTGATGCTCAAAAGGGTTTATACTCTTGCTTATCAGTTTGAAGGAAGCGTGCTTTACTGCTCCAAAACACCTTAAAAAGCTGAAGACCCAAAGTAAACTTCCCTGTAATCAAGTTCTCATCTTACCACATCCAGGCGGATCGGGATTAGTAGTAGTAGTAGTAGTAGTAGTAGTAGTAGTAGTAGTAGTAGTAGTAGTAGTAGTAGTAGTAGTAGTAGTAGTAGTAGTAGAGTAGTAGTATAGTAAGGTCATTCAACTCCAGTCCCCTTTTCCCTAAACCCTAAGCCGGTGTGCAAGCCTTCGCCCATCGTGTCCACGTCATCCATCACCCCACATTGTCGGAGGGCCTTATAGGACGCAATCTTTGGGCTTCGGTTGGGAGGGGGTTTGGTTTACGGTAAGGCTCCATGTGCTTATATAACTTATACAGTATATCATACTAAGGCCTGAGCCTACCCATTTTGGATCCGCCTTTAAGGCCTAGTTCCTAGGCTTAGGGCTTAACAGTCCAGGTTTCGGCTTCACTGGTATGTCTTCTCCTTGACGATGACATTGAGCCTTGCGGACTGCTCCCTCGGCGCGGTCTTCTTGTCGACCTTCGACTTCAGTAAGGCTTTCAGGACGGATGTGCCGCCACCACGCATTGCTACCACCAGCACACAGTAAGGTGTGTTGCGTCCATCGGCTCCCATGGTTCGAGCATGGAAGCCGAAAAAGCCCCTTTGAGTTTGAACTCCTTGGCGAAAGGGCCGACGATGTTGCCGATGCACTCATAGACTTCGTGAAAGGTGTCTTTCGGTGTGTAGTAGTAATACAGACGAACGTCGCCTTCAGGGTTCAGGTTTAAGGGCTTCGTGGTATAATGGTTTCAGGGGTGTTCCGGGGCGGCCGGATCAAGGTACTTTGAACAAAGGGCTATCGCAGCAAGGGGTGTAGACACTCCGGCAGCAAGACACGCTTCGGTTCCTTGGACTTTACATCATCCTTATAGACCCGGAACCCTAGGTGCAAGTTCTGCCTTACGCCCTGACCCGCATAATTACCCTGCATGATAAACTTATTTATTTGCACCCTCGACTTTACAAGCAGGCTTCCCGGCCCGTACATGGAGCTGCGAGGACTCTGAGCTGTCTTGTTTTGTGCTTCGTGCGCACTCAAGCATCTTCTCACCGAGTCCAGAAAATATATCCTTTCTTGTCCCCATGAAAGGCGTGACCCCAAAAACCAAAATCCTAATTCCAAAGCGAAAATGAAAAGCGGTGGTGAATTATTCCAGCAGAAATAAAACCTTGAAGCCATCCGCATACATTCGGTTGCACCCTCCCTCTGTGTGCATGGCTTCTCCAAGCGAGGTGGCAGACACCTCCAAGGAAAACGCAGCAGATGTTTAGGAATGATAGAGCGCAGGATTGGTGGTTCTGAGTATGCTATGGAGCTCGGGTTATTTCAATCGGGAATTACCAAGATGGAAGTTTAGGTGCAGGTTCCGGTCCCCATCTACTTCTGTGATAACATACCCTGAGCTATTTGAAGTCGTAGGCAACTCTACCTTGTACCTTCAAAAAAAATCTAAACCCTGAACCCACAACCCGAAACCAGTCCTGAACCTCATAATGCTAAAAGTCTCCTTTCAGATCGAGATCTGGGATTGAGGTCGTAGGTCGTCGAGCTTAGACAGCAGCTGACAATCCTGGAATCCTGCGCGCCTGAATCCCTTCCCTACCCCATGCACAATAGACATTGAGCCTAAACCCTAAACCGTAAGGTTTGAACCCTGCAAGCACTGCGAGCACCATTTTCCAAGCCCTACAGCCCCGAAACCGGGAAGCAAACGACTACATGAACCCCTGAAGTGTCCTTAAGTGTCCTTTTCCTTGGTCCCTTATGGAACTTAGTCCTTAGTGCGTATACAGACCGTCAAACATCAGAACTGAACACTAAGGGTCCATGTACCCAAATACTAGATACCTTGGCCCCAAAGTGATAGGGACCAAAGTTAGGCCAAAGTCTGTACAAATATATTGGTACATGGAGCCTTTGGGTAACTAGGCCTTATACCCTGACGTCACACCCAAGTAGTCGAGCGACCACTTGAAGCACAACTCGCAACCCTTGCGCGTAGTTAAGCTCAACCGTAAGCTCCAAAAGCCCTCAACTTGTCTTGGGGTATAACTATATAGGGACTCTCTATAGCTATGAAAACTAAGGGGATACTCTTCCCTCAAGCCCAAACTTACGTGAGGACTTTGGGGCCCTTTTGTCGGTGTGCGAAAAGCCATACATCAAGATTGCTTGGGCCCTTGGGGAAACCCTCATGCATCACGCTGCAATCAGGGAATACCATCTGA